CAGCTACCTCAGATGGAAAACAGGGCTCGGATCTGGATTTGGGATCTACACGTACAGTTTCAAGATGGTAAAACCGTCATTTATATAAAAAAATAAAATAAAATATAACGTTCTTTGAATTATGTGCCAACCACTAAAATGGCCGCGGGTAACAAACACGCCACAGCCAAGTCGCTTAAGCCACAGATAAGCAGAAAAAATCTTTTGGAGGGGAAGAAGTTAACACAATAGTTGAACCCGTTTTGAGAATGTCCCAGGGCAAAACCAGAGAGCTCACTTCTGTACCCACTCAAAAAGGGGCAAATACAGCCTCCATCTGGCACGGGGGGCAGTTGTGTGGAGGATAAAACAGGAGGAGGGGGCATTTCCTGTGGATGCAGCTGTTTGGCCCCGGGCTAACGTTGTATGGGGTTATAGGTGAATTTGGCTCGGACCAAAACAAAAATGTGTAGGTTTGTTTTGCCAGTAGGTTGTGTCGAAGTTTTAAAGACAACAAGAAGTCTGTTGAAAGGATGGGTCATGAGATACGCTCAAAGGGATGGGCTCCGGGGCTGTTGTTGAGGGATCGACAGCTTTTTGTCATCCGAGACGACTGCTGCTGTGATTTAGGGCTATACAAAAGTGAATATTTAAACAACAACTGTATTGGAGTGTGGTGAATTCTGGTTTCTGTGAAGCACATGTTCAAGTCAGCATCAGTGTAGTGCAGGCCCCAAGTAAAAACCTAGAGCGAGAGTTGTCACAAAAATGTGTTTGCCATTGTTGCATTTGAACAGTTTGATTCTTTGATCTGTTGATGGCGAATCAATGACTTTGTAAAGTCCTCTGAGACGACTGCTGTTGTGATGGAGAGCTATGCACAAATACATTGAATTGAATTGAAATCACAAACGATTCAATACTATAGAAAAAACACTCAATACTAGTTTTGTTTCCGACGCAATTTTGGGACTGTTCTTTTGGGACAATAAACTGTCATTTTAACTGAAAATAATACATTTTATGGGTCAAGTTATGGGTTAAGCTATTAATACAATACAAATTCTTCATACAACACAATATGAAGAATACAAATACAATACAAATACTTACAAGTTCTTTTGATAGTTTGAAATGTTTGAAAAATATCAATGTAATTATTAAACAGACCTCCCATTTTGACCTCAAACTAGTGTCTAGTTTCAATGCCAGCTTTAATACTCAATACATTTCAAAACCTTTGACAACTTGCTTGATTATTGATTATTATTATGATTTCAGCTTTAATGTTGCTTCCTGTCTTCTGCTTCAATCTTACCAGCTCAGGCCAAACTTAAACAGACCTCCCATTTCGACCCCAATTTAAAAATAAACACCTAGCTATGGACTAGCCAACCTTAATCGATGAGTTACTGCGGTAATTTCAAGGAAAGGGGCGGGAGACGGCCAAGAAAGAATGCAAGAAAGATGAATGATTTTGACGTACAACAGTGGCCAAAGAGGTTAACTCCAGACACATGTGAAGTGATCTGCTTCTAGTGAATGCAATCTCATTTTTATTATTGTCTATTGTATCTAAGCTGTTTTCAAGTATGGAAGTACTTATCGAAAATGGACTGATTCAAAACACAAGATTTGATTTTTTTATATCTTGAAGGTTTAGGTTTTTATGTTTGTTTGATTGTGAGAAGAAATGGTAATTCACTTTTATTAACACTTATCATCAGTATTATTCTATGTTTTATTGGGGAAAATACAGACATGTGTGTGTGCACTTATCTTAGCATTATAAAAAGTAGAAAGTACAAATATAATTTTAAAAACAGTTTATTTCAGTTCAAATGTTTTGAAATTGAGAATTTGTTTGGCTTTTTTAGTTCAGAGATTACATCGTGACTTAAAAACAAAAAACCCTGGCCTTATATAACATACTGTATATTTTAGTGAAAGTAATATATAGTAGGGTCTGGGACAAAGTGACTCATTAAAGTGACAGTAACAAATGTGCTAATATATGTCACAATAATTCTGACATTAGTATAGTTATTAATTTGACAATCTTTACATAGTTAATGGAACAATTAGGTATTTGTACAAGAGCAAATTTCACATTTTTCCTAATATTATGCAGGTCTCCAGGTGTTGGTGGAAGAGGGTGGTAGCACAGGAGCAGACAGCACTCCTCTTGTCCTTGAGGTTAACCCGGCTTCATTCTGAGTCTATATTTCAAAGTCTCTGGGATGTTCCACCCAAGGACACACAGGAGGATCTGCTCCACATCCCCACCACATTTTCTCCGACACTGGAATAGTGTCATAAAAAAATAAGCTTTGAAATAATTGCATCTTTATCATTTTATCTGCTCATCTGGCACATAAATTACTCTCAGGAATGATAAACTGATAGCTTGTTGCCTTGCCTTGCCTTGCCTTGAATGAAGTCTGACACGTTCTCTGCCTTTGACCTTTTATCATGCTACTAGTGGGACATAAATTGAGGAAGAATGTGGTCTCAAATCATTAGGAAATGCAAATGCAGGTGAAAAAAGTACTACACAAATCGACTTTATTCTTTGAGACTGATTTGTTGTCGTGACGATATGCAGCATGTACACGGCACCGTCACTATTCATTATTTCATTAGTTTTCATGTCAGATAAAGTTTACAAAAATTAGATCTTCAAGAGTTTTGAAATTACATGTTTAGTAAATCAATTCCTTTAAACAGCCTTCCAATCATTCTTCTCTCAAATGTTATTCAATTAATCTTTAATTCAAATATAACATAAAAAGCCGACAACAAAAGTATAGACAAGCAAACAAAAATTCCGGGCCAATTACAATAAAGAATTTTCGCAAAATTGTGAAGCTATTCAATCGTTCGTCCTTATTTGAGAATCTGTGTTTCACAAGTTGGATATTGAGGTACAGATCAGCATGTAGGGGCATGAGTGAGGGGCTGGTTAAATGTGTACTGGGTGGCATCTCTGGCCACCCCTCCGACCCAGAAATGGATTAAGGGGAAGATAAATGTTCAAACAGAAATGATGCCAAAAGGAGTAGGCAGAAACAAAGCCACTGAATTTCTCCATCTGTGTGAGATAATAAAGGATTGATTGATTGATTAAAGCTATAACACCCAATTAAGGCACTATCAATGTCAACAAATAAATACAGCCCCCTTGAACCTTTCAAGATTTCGCCACATTTCAGGATTCAAACATAAAGATATAAAAATTAAATTTTTTGTCAAGAATCAACAAGTGGGACACAATCGTGAAGTGGAACGAAATTTATTGGATAATTTAAACTTTTTCAACAAATAAAAACTGAAAAGTGGGGCGTGCAATATTATTCGGCCCCCTTGCGCTAATACTTTGTAGCGCCACCTTTTGCTACAATTGCTGCAAGTCGTTTGGGGTATGTCTCTATCAGTTCTGCACATCGAGAGACTGGAATTCTTGCCCATTCTGCCTTGCAAAACAGCTCAAGCTCAGTGAGGTTGGATGGAGAGCGTTTGTGAACAGCAGTCTTCAGCTTTCCACAGATTCTCGATTGGATTCAGGTCTGGACTTTGACTTGGCCATTCTAACACCTGGATACGTCTATTTGTGAACCATTCCATTGTAGATTTGGCTTTATGTTTTGGATCATTGTCCTGTTGGAAGATAAATCTCCGTCCCAGTCTCAGTTCTTTTGCAACAGGTTTTCTTCCAGAATGGTCCTGTATTTGGCTCCATCCATCTTCCCATCAATTTTAGCCATCTTCCCTGTCCCTGCTGAAGAAAAGCAGGCCCAAACCATGATGCTGCCACCACCATGTTTGACAGTGGGGATGGTGTGTTCAGGGTGATGAGTTGTGTTGCTTTTACGCCAAACATATCGTTTTGCATTGCGGCCAAAAAGTTCAATTTTGGTTTCATCTGACCAGAGCACCTTCTTCCACATGTGTGGTGTGTCTCCCAGGTGGCTTGTGGCAAACTTTAAACGAGTCTTTTTATGGATATCTTTGAGAAATGGCTTTCTTCTTGCCACTCTTCCATAAAGGACAGATTTGTGCAGTGCACGACTGATTGTTGTCCTATGGACAGACTCTCCCACCTCAGCTGTAGTTATCTGCAGTTCATCCAGAGTGATCATGGGCCTCTTGGCTGCATCTCTGATCAGTCTTCTCCTTGTTTGAGATGAAAGTTTGGAGGGACGGCCGGGTCTTGGTAGATTTGCAGTGGTCTGATACTCCTTCCATTTCAATATAATTGCTTGCACAGTGCTCCTTGAGATGTTTAAAGATGTTTAAAAATTGGCAGGACCCGAGGCTGCTGCTTCGAAAGTGCCCTAGAGTCATGTACACAGAGTCGCATTTCTGATGACCTATAACTTGTAGATTTGAATAAAGATTACTACTTTTGTCTGGAGCTTGGGTAATGACCGAAAGAACGAGATCGCGGATACAAGCGGTCGAAATGAGCTTCCTCCGCAGAGTGGCTGGGCGCTCCCTTAGAGATCTTGTGAGGAGCTCAGTCACACGGGAGGAGCTCGGAGTAGAGCCGCTGCTTCTCCACGTCGAGAGGAACCAGTTGAGGTGGCTCGGGCATCTGTTCCGGATGCCTCCTGGACGCCTCCCTGGGGTGTTCCGGGCACGTCCCACCGGGAGGAGGCCCCGCGGAAGACCTCGGACACGCTGGAGGGACTATGTCTCTCAGCTGGCCTGGGAACGCCTTGGGGTCCCCCCGGACGAGCTGGAGGAAGTGTGTGTGGATAGGGAAGTCTGGGCGTCTCTGCTTAGACTGCTGCCCCCGCGACCCGGCAACGGATAAAATGGAAGAAAATGGATGGATGGATGGACTTTTGTCTGCATTTCTAATACACCGTTAACACTATTATTCACTGAGTTACCGTACCATTTCATAAAAACTCCATATGTCTATTGTGCTTTTTTTTAGCCATGGCTTTCCACATGGCTTTCCTTCTCCATCTCTCTAGAATAAGCTAAGCTATATTTCTCTGTCTTTCTCTCCTCAGCGCTGGAGCGGCAGGAGGAGATCATTCCTGAGCATCCGAACAACAGTAATATCCGCTGCAGCCCACAAGACAAGCGCTGCATACAGAAGACCCTGGCCCGACACCCGTCTAAATCCTCCAACCAGAGAAACATGGGCAGAGAGGAGGCCAAAGTCGTGCTGGTGAGAAAATCAAACTTATCACTATTGTTTTTACTGGAAATCATTCGAGAATTCTGTATCAGATTTTTCTACTGCTTATTGTTTGGGTTAAAGCTGGGGTATTTTCATAAATAATACATTTTTTGTCCCAACAGCAGCAGAAAGTGCTTTGTAGAACTGGCATGCTATCTACATCTTTTTTTTTCTTTTTAAACATGCCATCTTTTGCATCCTGAGCCCTGTGAGTCACTATTTGACTGAGTGAGGGTGGTCCTCTCTTTTTCACATGCTGATCTAAAGTGTGAGACCAAATATACATGCATGTGAACTGATAATAACTATACTATCAAGGGTCAAACTATTGTAGATTTTGTTTGGATTTTATTATAATTCCATTTCTGTTTAGGTTGAAAGTTAGGTACCCCAACTTTAAAGTGCATATGGCAGGTTTTTTTTTCAAATTTCATAATGTCTTTTTCTGTTGTATTAGCACCTTTCAAAAGAAAAATACAAATAATAGTTTTATACTAATGAAACCACAGTCAGTGAAGATGATTTTATGATTGGATTTTTTATTTACAGGAAGTATAGCAGTATTTTAGAACTGATGATTTCACAAGTGGAACATTTACTACCACATCACACCACATATATTCACCCATGTACAGTAAATATCCACACATGTTGTCTGTTCTTTGTTTCTGTCTTATTGTATCGTTTGTAAGTCGGTATTTTCACCAAAACAAAACACTGCATAAGATATAAAACCCATCTAAGGAAACAAATACACAGGCCTTTAATACTTGAAAGCAGCATGTGGTTCAGGTTATGGTTTATCACTTTAGAGCTACATAAGCGTTTCTGTCGGGCTATAAATTGTACAAATTACTTATTTAAAGGCTGTAAAATTTAATCACGGCAACGCGAAACAAAATACAGGTGCGCTTTGACACCATTATGGCATCTGTGGATTTAACGTGGGCTCGACTGCAATCATAACATCCAGATTAATAAGAAACAGGCTAGTTTGAAACCAGGCCGCGACATTCCTGTAACACAGTAATATGTAACATAAACACACATATGTCAAACGCACAGACGGGCCACCCAAGAAGATTTCACCTAAACTTGTCTAAACGTGGATTAAGTGTGAATTAAATATCTGCCAAGCGTTCAGAGGACGTCAAGTACCATAAACATATAAAAAGCATATGCTGTGGTTTGGACAATGTACCCATGTATTTTTATCTATATCTGCAGGTTTCAACTATAATAGCCTAATAAATGCATTGGTTGAAGATTATAATCTGGAAATTGTGGTGCATCTGCAGAATTGCTAACCTCAGACAACATTTAAAGATTCATTTGCTATTTCTCAAACCACAAAAGGGTAAAGGCTGCAGCAAAAGGTATTTGCTCACTCTCACAAAGCCATTGTTGACATTCACATGCATGTATTTCTGAGCTTCAAGGAGTTGAACTGTGCACTCTTTATGGCTTCCTGGTTCACCAAAGATAGACTTACTTTAATGTTATGTGCAACAGAACAAACTCAGAACACACAGTCCTTTTCCTGGGAACAAATATCATATGGATCAATGGGTTTACAACCATTTCAAGACTGAGACCTAAGAAATGTATAATTTCTGGTGTGTGTGCATGTATTTGTGTATGTATGTATGTATGTGCGTGTGTGTATGTGTTTATATTCGTATATACACTACCGTTCAAAAGTTTGGGGTCACCCAAGTGTTTTCCATGAAAAGTCACACTTACTCACCACCATACATTGTGAAATGAATAGAAAATAGAGTCAAGACATTGACAAGGCTAGAAATAATGATTTGTATTTGAAATAAGATTTGTTTTACATCCAACTTTGCTTTCGTTAAAGAATCCTCCATTTGCAGCAATTGCAACATTGCACCAAAAACCAGACATTTGCAGCTAGAATAGTCCTTTACCACATAAGCAATGTATAGAGTGTATTTATTTACAGTTAAGACTAGTTTAAAGTTATCTACAGTGCTTTTCCTTCAAACATAAGGACATTTCAATGTGACCCCAAACTTTTGAACGGTAGTGTATGAATGTATGTGTGTGTATGTAAGTATGTCTGTATGTATGTATGTATGTATGAAGGTTTATGTGTATGTACCTATATGTGTATGTCTAGAATGATATAAAACCTTTTATATCATGTAAATTATAAAGTGCACGGGATTATTATCATTATTACATAAAAAAACATACTTAAAGGCTTTATTTTGTTCAAACAGGTGCAGTGTCCGTTATGTAAAATAGCAGTTTCATATAAATTCTTGAATCTTGATTTAGCTTCTATCTTCTTGGGCAGAAATAGATATGAACATGGATGTCCAATGTACCCATGAACATATCTCACCTCTTTACGCAATCTCTAATAAACATCAATCAACAATTCATCAATAGCAAACATTCTCCGATGCTGTTGTTGCAAGACTCTCCACTCACAATGCATCAATGATATTATGTCAGGAAATTAACCACAGTGATAAGGAAGCTCGTAAATCTATTATCCTCCTTGGTGTTTACCAAACAGCATACATATCCGAAAAAATTGAATTGTCGACAAACATTTCACAAGAGCGCGACACCAGTCAAGACAGAGACAGAGTTTTGAGCATTTCTAGCTGAAGGGTCATAAGCTTTACATTTAATTATTAGGAGAGATGTTTTTGTTCTCATTTAAACATAACCGTCAACGCTTTTTTCACATCTTAATTGATAATACATTTTGTGGCGTCACACACAAAAGAACATGTAATGGTGTCTTGTAAGCAGAATTTAGCCTGGCTCCAGAAATTAGAATCTGTACAAGACCTCCTCACAGCCCCTCCCATCAGGTAGCGCTGCCCTGTTGTTTGTAGCTAATGCATTGTACATATCAAAAATGGTTAAGAAAAAAAGGTTTTAAGTAGCAATATGTATGATTTTCATGTCAAGTCATCATGAAATAGCCCTAATCTGTCAGAAGGCATTCATAAACAAAGCTCTTTTCTAAAACTTCTATAAATGATTACAGTAGTTCAGCCGAGATATGCAAATTTCAAAATTAGTTTTACAGCTGCTAAATCTTGCTTTCATTGTGATGTCCTGCCCTCCACTGTTTGACCAATCAGAAAGTCCGTGATCCGGGTTGCCAGAACTCACCGCGCCATGCTAATATCACTGGTAAAGTAACATGTGGCCTCAGAACTAAAAAAGGTCTGCAGCCAAAAGGTTCCCAGCTGAGATTCGTCTATATATCTGGCAACCTGAGTCAGGGAGAGTGGGAGAGGCTGCACTACACCGTCTTTTACCTTATGTTTCTTCTTCTGTCTCCTGTGCAGGCTCCGTGTCGCGCTGAGCTGCAGAGGGCTCTGGACAGACTGGCTTCCAACACTCGCACCCACGACGACCTCTTCACCATCCCCATCCCCAACTGCGACAAGAACGGAGACTTCCACACCAAACAGGTCAGCTCTCTGCAGAAACAGATACACTCTTAGTACTATTCCTGTGTGCCTGAAATCAGAGACAGATATTATAGCACACACAGAAAAATCAGAGAAAATCCACATGTCTTTTCAAGAGATAGCTTTGGCGTTGATAGCAAATATTTAGCTTAAACTTGTCATCATATTTACATCAAATTATGAACCATTAAAGAAAAGAAGAAAACTTAATGTCGCTTAAGTAAGTAAGTAATCTGTATTTGTTTAGGGCCTTTCTCACACCAACGTCTCACAAAGCACTTACAATTTTTTGGTATTCCCATTCACTCACTCATTATGTAGAACCTGTTGTCAATGTGTTTAGTGGTAGGGGAAACCGGAGCACCTGGAGGAAATCTACGCAGACACAGGGAGAACATGCAAACTCCACACAGAAAGGCCCTGTCTGGAGTTGGAATCAAACCCAGGACATTCTTGCTGTGAAACTCAAGCAGTAACCATACCGCGAGAGCCCCCATATTCCCCCTATGTTTTGCATCAAAAACAGACCTGGAGTTGTTTTTAGATCCATCCATGCTAATTTCAGGAATTTCTAGCCCCTTGTGTCTAGAAGCTCCTGTCTCAGTACCCAACTGTAATATTATGATGTCACTGTACCACTATGACATCACACTCAAAGCATTTTACGGCCATTTAGTACTGCGCATAAATTAGGTTAGGCAATTTCTCAGGTGAAATTACGTTCTTTACAATCGCTGTGTTTGCAGCGGGTAAACTCGTCCCTCTTCATACTTATTTGCCTTTTGTCCTGAAGAGCACCTGGTCCACTGATCGGTCCAATTTATGGTGAGCCAGTGTACAGTCTCTCTGGTTTAACAACTTTTGATCTATCAATGTTAGTACAGTTCTAGTCTGACCTAGCGCAAAAGTCAAAAGCAGACAAAATGCACATTCTTGTACTAATATGACAAATGTCTAAAATGGTCAGAGAGACCCCAAATGTATTCAAGGACGGTTACTTTAAACTCATATCAACCAGGTCAAAGGAACTATTCCATAAAACCAATTGGAGCATGAAGATGTCTCCCTGCTGAACGAATTACAGGATTTGACCAGATGAGCAGAGTATCACGGAGCCAGCACAAATAAAAAACATATTTTTTTGTATCTCAGACTTGCAGCCTTTTGATTACAGCAGCAGTCTGAGGTCCAAAAGTGCAAAAAGCAGATGAAACCATTGTCTTAAATTCAACTCAAGAACAGCACATGTTTCCAAACGACTGCCTTTTGAGCCCAGCTAACGCCAAGACCACTGTTTATCTAAGCTCTCATAAAACAGTGACGCACAATGTGCAATGAACACACTTTTATTTTATGTGGAGTTGCTCATTTTGCAAGTTTAAATATAAGGTCAATCTAAAAAGACCCAGCATAATGAATGTCCAGATAAGGAGCTGGCTCGCAGTCGTGGAGCAATCAAAGACGCCGAGTCAGTGATAAAGGAAAGTTAGTAGAAAGGTTCACGTGAGAGTTTTGTAACGTGGTTAAAGGGCCGTGTTCACAAGCATCTGTTTACTGTTTAACCCGTGCTGATAAACCCTGTTAGGGATATATATACAGGTCACTGGGGACAACTGGGAATAATTTCACTGCAGAGAAATCCCTTAAACTATGACCTCTATAGAGTTGTATAAGTTAATAAGATAATTTTCTAAATTACATGCATAATTGCTGGGAGTCAAAGATACAACATTTCCTTTGTTAATTAGATTTTTTTTTTGGCCTTCTTATTCAGCAACTACTGTCAGGGTGGTGGGTAGAATTTTATTGAGATTGAGACAAGTCCTATGTATTATTATTATTATAATTTTTTATTGTTATTATATGTATTCTTATTCTTATGCTTATTATTATTAATCAAATTTAAATTGTGTATTAATGTATTGCCTTGAAATCATCTTGTTGATGTAACAACAAGCTACAGTGTTGCTTTTATTACATTTATAGAATCACAGAAAGAAAATCAAAGCTATGGTTTCTAACTTTCAAACAAGATAGAACCATGTAATACAATCCATCTCACTTGTTCATTGCTCTCACAGTTTGCTTCTACCACATTCATTACATATTAATGTATTTTGCCCTCTGTCACATCTTTAAATCACCTTCTTTTTAGACAGAAATGTGAAAAAGAGAGGACCACCCTCACTCAGCCTATTAGCATTCAAGCTAAAGGGTCAAATAGATAAAGACAGTATTGTGTGGTCTTAATTGTACACATTTTTTGTCTTTCCAATGGGACAAACATGTATTATTTATGAAAAAAGATAGATACCCCAGCTGTAAGTGTGAGTTTGAAAACGTACAACACAGACATAGGATTGTATGAAGAAAAAGTCCCAAAAACCAACACTGTGTCTGATGAAAAATGACAGAAGAAAATAAAATATATATTGTGTAAGGAATTCAACGCTGCATCCCTCAAACATTTGCACATATTTACTTCGACACTGGTGTACTCCAATTTGCTCATGTACTCGTTTGACCTTCTCTAATAGCCACATATGGTTCCTCCGCCGACGGTGTGAATTTCTGTTCCCCTTTCTCAGCTTGGGTCCTTGAACATTTTGTACCAGCGAAACAAATAGGGATTTCTTGCCTTATTTTTAGCACACTTTTAGACCTAATTTTATGGGATTTCCAGAAACCAAATAAAACCTTCTGACTATCCACAGTCTAATCTAATTTGGTTGGGATAATAATTGTAATAGTATGTACAAAGTCTGTGGGTGATCTGCTGAACCCATTGCCCCACTGCCAGTCCCTCATAGATAATCCACTACCCACAAAAAAGGTTTTAGTAAAATCAATAACATTACAAAGAAAAAAAACAAAAGAAAAAAAGCTTGACAAAAAACTGCACTGCAATTAAATCTGGGGTACCAAACCTTTTTGTTCATAAATTATTTTAAAATAATAGTAATAATAAAGCATCAATATAGCGGTTTTGGACACACAAAGACACCTCACACAGGGCAACACAGTGGCTGAGTGGATAGCACTCTTGCCTCTCAGCAAGAAGGTCCTGGGTTCAAATCCCTTTCTGAGTGGAGTTTGCATGTTCTCCCCGTGTTTGCGTAGGTTTCCCCTACCACTAAAAACATGTCTTGTACTGGCGACCCCGCTCCCATCTCTGTGTGGAGTGAGAGGACAAATGCCCAAAAATAACAATTGTAAACCGCTTTGTGACTCTGGTCTGTGAAAGGCGGTTTAATAATAAAGATGACTTACTTACTTACATAATAAGGTGTCTTTGTATGTCCAAAACCACTACCACCATCATATATCTTCATATATGGTGCCCTGGGGCATACTGACAGAAGCTAGTGGGGGGCTGCTTTTCAGATTTATGCAGCTAAAGTCTGGAACAGTCTTCCTGAGGATGTGAGACTGGCTGCCTCTCTGTCAATGTTCAAATCCATGTTAAAGACTTTTCTTTTTTCCTGTGCATACAACTAGAGAATTTTATCTTTTTAACACACCTTGTTATTTATTGTTGTAACTTTTTGTGTTTTTAACTATTTTATTGTTTTTAATTACTTGTGTGATTCTTATGTTTTTAAATTACTTATGTGATTTTAATGCTTTTTAATTACATATGTGTTTTTAATTGTATTTTAATGGTGATGATTTGTGCATTGTGTGGTGTGGACTGTGAGGCGCTTTGTGTTGCCCTGTGCAGGAAAAGCGCCCTATAAATAAAGATTGATTGATTGATTGATAGTGCAATCAGCCCCTTTGACCGTCACCAACCATTCACACACACCAGACTTTTGGCAATGTGGGTGAAGTGTCTTAGGCCCTAAGACTTAGGGCGTAAGGACACAAAAACAGCCGCAACCGCCCCACTGTGCTTAATTCTTACACTCGATCGGTTGCCTCTCTGCAGATACTGTATGACTTGTTAATGACTTGCTTGCCTCCAATGCAGACGGAAAAAAAATATGTTTTGCATGTTGTCCTGGAAAAACGATGTATAATGGATTTTTTAAATTTTGATTTCAAATACTAACTATACCAGGGGTCGGCAACCTAGGGCACGCGTGCCACATGTGGCACGCCGCGGAATAAACACCGGCACGCCGGCACCTCCGCATTATTCTCACTGTATCTGTCCTGTTTTAAAAATAAGAGCATCTCCCTCTTTGTCTGAGCGCTTTTTGCTGGCCGGCACTAGGACCCAGCGGACACCACTGCGGGGATAAGCTGCTTCCCTCACACACACACCGTGTGTAGCTGTGGGTGGAGCCAGGAGCCTGCAGCTGCAGGTGTATGCGAGATTTAAACTTCTTTTTGCACATTCAAAGTAGTAACTGGTGTGCCATTCACTGCAGACGCCTCCTACAATCACTGTGACGCTGTCAACACTGTGTGCGTGAAATCAAAGAGGGAACTGGTGAGTTTAAGCATTTTTGTGCTGCACAGAGCTAGAATGCTAGCGCTAGCCTCTGATGTGATGTTGAACTCGAATATTGTTGTTCTCATGTTGATTCTCTGTGTAGCCGACTATGCCTTTTTATGTGCTCATGTATGGTTACCAGAGCATGAAATTTGCTTGTGTGCTCTTGAACCAAAAGTATTAATACATTTATTTTAGATATGTGCACTGAACTGAATGAATTGTGTTGTGATTTATGGTGCAGAGGATTAATTGTGAATTTTGAAGTGAGAATGAGCACTCTGATATTGAGTATATATTTATTGAACATGTACATGTATTTTTATAGTGATATATTGCTAAATGAAACTGTTGGATATTTATATTGGTCCTGTCATGCAGGCCAGGTTCCTTGGATCCGTCCGTCCATATGGACTTCTTCTGATGGCGAGCTGCCCCAGGCTGAAAACCTAGAGATTGTCAACCCTACAGTGCGGTAGGAGGCGAGCAGTCTCCCTCATACAACACCACAAACTGAGACAATAACCTGAACTGGATTACTGCAAAGTACACGCTCCACCTTTTCAAACCAACCTGCCAAACCCAACTCAACCGGACTCTCTCACTCAAAACCCGTTCAATTATTTTTTGTAAATATTGTAAATATTGTGAATGTGTGGTGTGTGTGTGTGTAATCTATCCCCTGCCTTTGTAAATATCTATTAGAGGTGCAACGGTTCATCACTAATCCGTGATCTGTTCAGATCAACGTCTTCGGTTCGGTACAGACGTGATCCGCGGTTTGATTTATGAAAAAAAAGTTGTGCGCATGTTGTTCAGTCCACACACAGCGTAATCATGGCGAGCGGAGGAACTTGAAAGCCCTGCGTCATTTAAATCCCCGTTATGAGAGCATTTTGGCTCCACTGTAACTATACTGATGATTAAATAGTCGACAAATTTAATCACTGATCCTCCTGCAGGTGCTGAGTCCACATGAGCAGAGTTTATTACAAAGACAAAACTTTTTAGTTGAAAAATGAACTGAACCGTGGCCTCTGAACCGAGGAACGATCCAAACCGGGATTTTTTTCAAACCGTTGCATCCCTAATATCTATCTCTTAACATAATTCACATCTGGATCATACCACTGTCTCTGTCTGTGATTTTAAACACCTCTCCCTCTGTGAGCCCAATCTTAGCTTCTGGTCCGAGCCCAAATACAATCAGTTTACTGGACTTAATATTGTTATATGCTACACTAGCTGTTTTTTCAGTCTTTGAAATGTTGATAGGGCTAAATTATTTTGAATACAGATACTGTTATTGTTGAGAAAAAAATTCCAGGTATATTGGAAATGTTTATGTATTTTGTGTCATATTTTAACTGCGTTCATCGATGGTAATGGCACACTAGATGAGAAGAACATTTCAAACTGGCACTCCATGTCACAAACGTTGCCGACCCCTGAACTATACTAAACGGTTTTCCTCTTTCCTGCTGTAGTGCCATCCTGCTCGCGACGGACAGAGGGGCAAGTGCTGGTGCGTGGATCCAAAGACCGGGCTGCGGATCCCGGGACCCCTGGAGCTCCGGGGGGATTTGGACTGCCACCAGCTCGCAGCCGTACTGAGAGACTGAACTGTAGACGACGTGGAGGGAACCGTATCAGCTGAATTCTACTGGTGCTTATAGGAGCTGGACACACGGAGAAGGACTTCGCCCCAAAGCGACTTCCAGAGGGTCACGGCACCTGCGCTTACACAACCAACAGAAAAAACGTTGACATTATTTTTTTCCCCTGTGAGTGAAAGGGTGTTTTGAGTGAGCACTTGTTTGTGATTTGTTTTGGCTGTGTAAAGTGAGACATTTGATTTAAGACGTGCGCTTCTGAAATATGAGTGGCAAGATGTTACGCTGTGATAAATGTAAATAAGTAAAACATGTTTTCTAGTCTTGTCTAAACTCTACAAGAGATATAGATATATGAATAAATACACAGATTATTCGCCTTGCGGTGGTTACCTATAGGTTAATAGATAGCATGTTAACAGAAGAAAATGTATATCAGCATTGTAGCTCTCTGTTATGACCTTCTCATGTTGAATAAGACCCAGAACTGATCTCCACAGATGGTAAACATGCTGAAAAGATGAAGTGATGAAGACTGGAATAAGAAAACCACAATCTCCTGTGTTGAATTGCCAAATGCTACGCAGTTGCATTTTACTGCACCAATTCGAAAACTATTTTCTTGACAGACGTTTGGTTAAAAATCCAACAGAGACACATCTGTGTATCTGTGAACGGTTGTTGTCCAAAAGCCTGGAGCAGAGCAGTTTTCAAAGGCTGTAGACTCCTGATAGTTCAATCATATTCCAACAGCCTCTGCTTGGATGCCAGTTTCACTCCAAAGGTTCAATGACACGTCCTGACACATGTTCTCTATCCATCTAAAGGAAGAAGTGCAGATTTTCCACCAAGGAACGGTGCCAAACCTGTAAGATAAGTCTATGATGTCATGTTTTAAGTGTTTAAGAGACAGTGTACGGGTCTGCAGCAAAGATCACACAATGTGCCAACATCTGCTACAGCCCTGGGTGAAACATGCCAGTTAAATATCATCTGGACAGAGCGGCTACATGAAAACACCAGGGACCTGACACTCCATGGATAGAGCTTACAGCCTGAGGACTGCAGTTTGAACTAGACAGACTCTGCATCTCACTCCTTTAGGCTCAGCTCAGCAGAGTTTTAAATTATGAACTAATGCAGAATAACTGGCAGACAACTGGTGCTATGTCAAGGTGTAACTTAACCCCTTAGACACATACAATATTTAATGATGAGCATAATGACTGCAACTATAAGGGGGAAATAATGAATGTTATAATCTAACACAAACACAGATTGTAGCCATGCAGACCACCATGAAAGGCAGCAAAGAATGGTAAATGCTGTGTAATTCATGTAGCTTGAGCCAAATGTTCTCTTCCCAAAGGCTGTAAAAAACAAGTTATTTTATAAAAACCAGGAATTGATACGTTTTAGAAGAAAGGCTATTATTGTTGAGTGAAATGTTGTTTCTAATTAAATACATTGAATGTTTAAGCTATAGTACATTGTGTTTTTTATTGCTGAATATAATGACATATATTGGTCATGTGTACTGCCAATTACATGTTGCCTGCATGTATACAACTGGATCTATGTTGGGACAAAATCATATTTGTCAAAAAATAAAAAACAACAATCAAACTGAACCATGGAAAAACATTTATATTGTAATTGTTTAAAACATAAAATGTACTTCAATATATGTCAATAAAATGTATACAAAGCTATATCTATGCCCACATTTTTTTGCCAATACAAGAACTAAATAATTCTTCTCTGACAGGTTGTTCATGGATTTATGCCATCCAGCTAGAGATAATGATGTCATATAATGCAGTCAATAAACTTGTATTCAGTGCCGTGTTTGACCACTGCTTTCAATACGATATAAATAAAATACAGGACAGAGGAAATCAACAGGAAGTAACAATAGACTGGAATTTAGGACAATAAGTGAATCCAATGATGCACATTTTGAATATGACAATAAAACATAGGGACATTTAAGGCAATGCAAATAGTTGGTGATCATGCATGCATAAAAGTTGGAAGTAGGATATTTAACACTGTATATTAAAATAAGAGAATAACTATTTTTTTTTTTTTATTCTCTGGCTGAAGGGAAGTCCTTTTATGGATAGGAAAAATTTGATATGTTGGAAAATAAGACACCTGCTTTCTTTATTATGAACGGACCAGTGGCAGAACATATGCCTGGAATGTGTCCCAAATAGCATTATATCACAATTATTTAGCTTCTAAAAATACCCTCAGTAGAGTAAACTTTCAGCTCTGCTTACTTCCACTGCCTGCGTCTATTTTGGTGAGTCTTATAGGCTTAAGGAGCGGGTATGAAACTCCACTACAAGAGTAAGCTATGTAAGTTGCTCCTTGATTGATTCAAAATGTGACAGGACATGCTCTACCCACAATGCCCCAGCTGTGTCTGGGAGGCCTATATACACAGTAGCCTACCGTTGACATGTGACCTATCCGCAGGTGTCCAAATCCACGCTAAGGCTGGGCTTAGTGCACGATGCAATGAGAATGGGCCTCCACACCTGCACATAACACAATAACAGTGTCCAAATGCATATTATACAAAACACAGGTCAAGCAGAAACCGCATAAGTCCACACGTGTGCGGGGTGAACAGCACCGAAATGGGGACACAATGAACACAATCAATTAAAGCACCCTAAACAAGGCATATTGGGCCTGAATAGACAGATGAAGGGCAAATCCCATCAGCTTTAGTTTGTTATTTTATAGGGAACACACTATTACAACCATTGACCAGGGTGGCTATAGAACAATGCGGACAAGAATGCAAAGTATTTCTCTTCTAACAACAAGACATCGGTTAAGAGGACAAGATCAGTTTGCATAAAGTTCAGAAGCATGTGAGGTGTTTTTAATGCAGACTCCGGTCTATGACAGCATAGACCGGAGATATTCTTACTGATTTAAAGTCCCACAATACTGTACATCAGGAACTCAGACCCAGCACAATACAAAGCACAAGCACAACACAAGTATGACGCATTATTATCATTAGGAGAACGCTATGACTTTTATGAGACGGTTTGGTTTATTACAGCGTAATTATTCACTATAATAAACAATTAACCAACAAAGGCTCAACTCTATGACGTGATTTTCAATGAATTTCCTCATGAATTGGCTGAGAGCAGCTGACAGATTTATTTGACTGAACACATCATAAAACCTTGTTTACAGACATAAATGTCGATTTAACAGGTGGCAATAAATGTTAATAATGTGCTTGCATTGCCAATAACAAAAGAAATAAGTTATGTTTTGTTTGGTCAAAAGGTGACAATTACTATAGGTCATAAAGTCAACAGTATATAATTTACTGTTGATTCAAGTGTAAGCTGGTTCTTACTTTACTGGTCATTTAATGAAAGGAGTAATCATATAGAACAAATCAGGTAGGCTTTCTATAGCCAATAGGCCAATGTGCCAATTCAAATCATTGTTTATCATTACGCCCTCATTTTATCATTGTGGGAAGTATACATTTAATTCCGTCAACTCTATTGAGATATATCCTAAAATTTACTTACCAGGGAGACAGCTCCATCAGCTACACTCATAAAAAAAACCATTACAACATAATGAACGACAATGAGCTGGCAGTTTGACATGCATAACTAATTCCATCTGCGCCATTTGTACAACATCATGAATGAAAGTAAAGCTATAATGGTTTTAAGATCACATTTTCAATTCGCATGAGGAGGCTACACTGACAGCGCGTCTCTGCCCAGAGCATATTGTGCAAAAGGCAGTGGTGTAATGAGCGTAGGAGGGTGGGGGTGCACTTCTGGAAGATTCTGCAGGAAATCTTACGAGTGGACCCCATTTCGGCGTTTATTGTGGGGGTCGCTTGCTCCACTGTGCAGGCGTTTCACTTTCTGCCCGAGCCATAATCTTCACGCTGATCACAATGGGGACTTTTCAGGTGAGTTTTTTGCAGACGCCAACTCACCTCCACGCCACATTTATGACCCGAAAACCTATGAAAATCTTCGCATTGGCGTTGCATGGCCATAATGTTTTACAGATGCCATTTTTCTTTGCAGAGGCAGCAGCTAGCACTGACCAGCACCGCGCACGCACAAGTGACATATGACAAATCAATCACCCAAACTGTCACAATAAACAAAGCCCACCTGTCATTATAGTGTTACTACATTGACAGAACACACGCAGTTAGAGCCACGGAAGCGACACTTTTCACCAACAGCTAAGGCTAATATTATCTTAGCAGCTGTGTGCTAGCTTGATTCACTGTATAATGTAGTAGAGATATGTAACCTGGTTAGCAGCGACAGTGTCATAATCAGCCTGACCTTGATTAAATCGATATTACCTTTCGGGTTTAAACTATTAAACAACTTAAAACTGTATGTAGGGCCATATAATCTACTCCAGGTTGTTGTCACGAAGCGGACGCGTTGTTGTGTATGACTATTTGCAGGCTGCTTTATTGTGACAGTATGCTAATGTGCTAATGTGCTAATGTGCTAATGTGCTAATGTGCTAATGTGCTAATGTGCTAATGTGCTAATGTGCTAATGTGCTAATGTGCTAATGTGCTAATGTGCTAAGCTAGCTAGTACTGCAGCACCCCGGCTTCTCTTTTGTTTGAGTGGACCCCACATTTTTCTTCAGATAATTGTACAGCTATCTATAAACAGCTACATAATAACCATATGCGCGCAAAATAGGTAAATACTCCGTGAAGCATTGATAAATAATGAATTGATTATTTGTTGTGTTTGTCAATAATTTGTTTTGATGTCACTTTTGTTAATTGTTTACTCACTGAATTAACTTTTTTTCATGTATTAGCCCTTTTGGCTTTGGGAAAAGATATTTGTTTTGTAAAGTGTAAAACAGACAAAAGATACAGCCCTGACACTTGACATGAGAAGAAAAAGAAGGACTACTAAAGAAAATTACGTTGAAAAAAATAAATAAATCGAGGCAAATCAAGAAAAACACATTTTGTGGAGCCAAGCTGCTGACTATATTTATTTTGTTTGTTGTTATAAATTGTAAATTGTCCATCTTATTTGCAGCATTATGGAAAAGACTTGTTGTTTTAAGGAGCTATATAAATAAAGTGGATTGAATTTGAATTCAAAACTGAATCACTGTTTAGTTAATTTGCATGGGCCATGGATTTCAGAATGATTAGAAATGAGAACCTTCTGTGATGTGTGAGACTGAGTCTCTCATAGGAGAAATTTGTCTTTGGAAAGGGGCCCACATGCTTTATACAGAAACCTTACAATTACATACACCACAGTAGACATTAAAGGTTCCATATTACGCTTTTCTTCACGTTTCACAGTCAATCCTATGCACATATGTGATAATAATTTTAGTGATACACCATACAACACTTAAAACTTGTGAGAGCCATCTCTTGCAAATATGTGACGTCACCTCAACTCAAACAGGCTGATTCAGAGAGCAGTCTGCTCCTCTGTCTGTGAGCCCACCTCCCCTCGCCCGCACGGTGACGTAGCATCACTGTCTGAGTTGTTTATCTCAGGTGCATATCAGGTCATTTCAGACCTGAGAATAAACTTTTTCCAACAATGACAATCCGTCACATTGAGCCCAATGTCCTCGATGCACAATTAGACCCTAATGATTTAGTTTACAAAAGTATTACAGAAGTCCTAACACTTCTAGTCGCTGACAAAAGCAGAAAAACAGTAGCTCCATGTGGTGTCCGCAAGACCAAACCACAGATAGGCTGGACTCGGGAGCCGGACTCGGGAGGCTTTTAGTATTATTATTATTTTCATTATTTTTGACAACAAACAGCATACTTATTGTGTAGTGTTTTCCCTGTTTTGACGACAGTATTTAAAAACCATTTTAAATACAAAGAAAACTGGCTCCTGCGTGTCATATTAAATCAAATAGCACTGTAATCATGTTTAAAGCAGAGAAAAGTTTAAATAGACTGACAGAGATACAGGTAAGAGCACCTTCTGAGACCTCTCTAGGCCCAGAGAAAAACAATATAATTTTATGTATATTTTTTAATCCTTAATATGTATGACAATAAACATGAGACCACAATTTGTCAGAATTCAGCCACAAATAAATCCAATATATTACAAAGTAAAAATTAAATGCACAAATGACATATTATGTGTATAAAAACCACCATCAATAAACAAATACCTGTGGAGTATTTAGGCCAACACAGTCACTTCCAGCTTGCTTTAACTTGAGCTTCACTAAATGTGTGGCGTAACAAAAACAAGGCCTGGCACAGTTTCTCCTCCTTAAAAATGTCTTTTGTTTACAGTGTCCATGATTGGAATCGACTGATACCAACGTGTTCCTCTCAAGATGTCAAGTAAGAGAGTTTTTTTGTGATTTATGATTGCTGATATCGAATGCCAAGATGTTGCTCAATTTCGAAAATATTTTTTTTCTAATGATAATCACTACTTTATTGTCTTAAACAGAGAGGCCGTCATACGCTCCTCCCCCTGCCCCTGCCCCTGCTGCTGTAAGTGTCGCAATATTATTATACAATATTATTAGAAAAAATTATTACTTTTTAGGTACTTAGCTTGATTTGTCACTGACATTGCATGAACCCATTTTATTCCCACCATTGTAAAATCTCTCTTTTTTGTGTTTTTGTTTAATTTGTTTCAGCAAATTCCCAATACCCCGGGGTTTGTTGGGTACAACCCGTACAGCCATCTCGCCTACAATAACTACAGACTTGGCGGGACCCAAACCACCAACAGTCGAGCAACGGTATACACAATACTAATGATGAAATGTTTTGAATAGATGTTCTTTGGTTCGAATGCAGCAAGTTTAATATTAAGAGATCCTTTATTTGCCCCACAGTGGGGAAATATCAGTGTTGCATCACCAGTTACAGAATAATAGGATTGAGGAACACACAGCAAAGAGAAGGGAAAAATAATTATACAAAAATAAAATAAAATCTCTACCTTTAGCATAATAGAGAAGCAGTATAAAATCTCTAACTTAGCTCAAAAATATGATAAAGTAAACTACAAATCCAATAAGGTGAAGAGAATTTTGAGTTTGCTAAAAATTCCTACTCCTTGTTTTGTGGAGATGATTATCTTATCCAGTAAAGTAAAGACATCTTTTTGAATCCAGACCAGTTTCTCTTCACGGTCTGCATATCTTACAGCCACATTAACAATCTCATGCCACAAGTGTTGCCATGGCATTGCAGGCTTCTGCTCGGCACGCCACTGGCTGCTCAGCGTTAATACAGTCTCTGTGTGGAGGCTGTGGTTGGACGAGAAAATAAAAGGAAAAAAATTGGAGTAGAGTAATAGACCTGTTATTATATTTTTTATTCAAATGAAACATAACAATTTGATGTACGGTTGTCATAATTATTGACAATTGACAATATAATTGAACGGACTGGTCAAAGAGATTGCATTGAATTCAGATCTTGTTGGTTCAAAATAAACCTTTTATGGCTGTAACATTAAATGACCACATGGTATTATCGTGAAGGTTTTTCCGTCTGTTTGTCTCCATGGAGATGTCTTGAAAAAAAATTGTGAATGTGTCAATTCGCCACAGATTTAACTTGTAACTTGGCCTGGTGTTGCCTCCTACTTCTCTTTCTGGCAGTACATAAATTAATACTTATATACTGCCGGAATTAATATTACTTACTCACTTGAATCTATATGAATACTTACTTACTTACGGTACTTCAGAATCAGAACTGTTTTAATTGCCGTCGTGAGTAACAGGAATTCACAAACTAGGAAATTGTTCTGGTGTATGATGCAACAAGTTAAAGTGAAAAATAGATATAAAGGCATGGATAAAACATCTTAATAACGTTCTAATATACACATACACACAATAGACATTTAACAGTGCAGATTATTACCACCGTGGAAACAAGCATGAGAGCCATTCTCAACCCCAATAGACAGAGCAGACTTTGAAATTTGAGATAGGTCTTATACTAAAGCCTTTCTAATCCAGCTATATTCAGATATTGTATTTCACTTACAATAACTGAACACTTTGACTGACATTAATCTCTGTAATACTCTTTGTCTAAAGCAAAACTCCTCTGGAATTAATATCCCCAAACCGCCGAAGCCGCCAGACAAGCCTCTGATGCCATATATGAGATACAGTCGCAAGGTAAGAGTCCATTGTGTATTGGTACATTTTGCATCATCATTGTGCTTTGTTGGAAGAAAGTGGCTATGTGTTTGATAAATCCTGCATAGGGTAAAGCCTGGTTCACACGAGACGATTTTAAAATTGTCGGCCGATTTTTCTCCGTGTTAGACCCCACACGGGGAGATTAAAAATCCTGCGTCTAACCACTTTGGTCGTGCAGTGTGTGGTGCGTAGCCACACGGCAAGATCACGCAAGCCACAAACGTCACACACGAACCGACACCCCCCCCCCCCCGAGCATTCCCAGGTCAGACGGAAATCTCACAAAATCTCTCGAGATCAAGCGTGACTTCAGAGTAAACAGTCATGGCGGACGAAGAGGATGCAGTGGCGATAGTGTGCAGTTTGTTGTTAACAGAGAAGACACGTAATCCAAAGAAAAGGCAATGGTCAAAGCCATGCTGCTGTGTTTTGGTTTTTTTCCGGTGTTTCCTCACCGGCTTGTCACCTCGTCTTCTTATTGGCTACACGCCGTAGTCATGGCAACGCGCTCGCTTGTCCTCGGAGGACATCACACACGACAAGAAATCGGGCCAAAACAATCCAACATGTTGGATATCCCCGATTTGAGATCGGGAGCAGTCCCGATGTCCTTCCGAGCGACGAGTGCAGTCTTAACACACCACACACGGCAGGATAATCTGTAAGATTTTGTTACGGAAATCGGAGCGTTTCTTAAGATTGTCGTAAGGGGTAAATCGGGTCTAAATCGGCCTAAATATCCTGCCGTGTGAACCAGGCTTTAGTTGTTTAGACTTAGATAGTGGTAGTTTAAGGTAGGTGTGAAGGAAGACCACAGCTGAAGCGATAGACAAGACCACAAGACGTTAGTGGGATGTGTCAACTTGGAGATGGAGCTTAAAGCACACGGCCTCCTCTGGTTTGTGACAAAGAGAATAACTACTTAGAAGCCCCCTCCCACCCACCCGACCCAACCCAACCCCGCACCCATGTCTGGTTCTCATCACCAGGTTTGGGATCAAGTAAAAGCCTCCAATCCTGATCTGAAGCTATGGGAAATTGGGAAGATAATCGGTGGCATGTGGAGGGACCTCACTGATGAGGAGAAACAGGATTATTTGAATGACTACGAAGCAGAGAAGGTTGGTTGTTTTACAAAGGGGTGTGTATGGGGTTCTTCTCGTGACTGACCAGTTGATGTGCCTCCAAATAAATGTGGGTCCCTCCCGTCATCATCCCTGCCTTTTGTAACAGTCTACACCTGTCGTGTCCTAGTAGGGCTGCAAGATATATCACTGTGCACTGCAAAAAATGATAAATTATGAGGGAATAAATGCTTGAATCGAGTGGTTTTTATCTTAATTGGATGTATATTCTGACTGTCTTAAAAAAATATTCGCCAATGGAACAAAGCCATTTCTCAATCCATGGGAGACATTTCTTAGCTTGTTTTAAATCTTGTTTTAAGGCAGTCAGAATGTGCTCAAATTAAGATAAATTTTGCCAAATTTGAGCCATCTTTGACTTATTTTTCTTCACTTTTTGCAGTGCACAAAATCAAATTGCCTTCAAGAAACATGACCCCTTCTATCTATCTAACAAACTGCTAAACTTTCGTACTTGAGTATTTTAACATGTTCTGAAATGCATGGTGTTCTTGTGTTTACATAGAAATATATATATATTTTTTTTACTTCTCATATGTGTAAACGCTCCTTAAATCACCATCACAATTCGATAATTGTCCTAAATCATGCAGCCCTATGTGTCCTAGTTTATCGAGTTTTCCCAACGTCGTCTGCCTTTTCCCCCACGATCTTGCTTCTCTTTTTCCGTGTCACCTTGTCGTCTTTTCCAACCCTAGATTGAATATAATGAAAGCTTGAAGGCCTATCACAACTCCCCAGCCTACCTCGCCTACGTCAATGCAAAAAGCCGCGCAGAGGCCGCATTGGAGGAGGAGAGTCGCCAGCGGCAGTCCAGACTAGACAAAGGCGAGCCGTATATGAGCATCCAGCCCGCGGACGACCCGGATGGTAAGACCGCTTAGATAAATGTCTCTCAACGTTTAGATACAGTCAGACGTGTAATTAGGCAGAGGCAAGACCACACACTGCTGACCACTCACACACACACATACACACACCCATTCTCACCGTTTTCAAGTTGCACTGGCAAAAAACAAACAGATACTTTTGCTTGTAAGTGGGAAAATGTAGTCATAAATATGTTTATGGCTATGACTGTGGTTGATTTTTTTAGTGGGGAATTTAGCTTCTATGAAAAGAGACAGCAGCACCTAATTATAACAATAATTCCGGGTTTTAGCTGAGTTAAAGCTTTCTGCAAGAAGTGATGAAAAATAAGTCAAAAATTGCTCAAATTTGGCAAAAAGATATCATTTTGAGCACATTTTGACAGCCGTAAAACAAGATTTGCCAATGGGACAAGCCAAATTATATTGTAATGAGAAAATATATAAAATAACCCTAACCCTAACAGTTCTCGAAATAACACTAAATGGCGTTGTCCTATTGGTAAATCTTGTTTTAGGACAGTAAGAATGTACTCAAATTAAGAAAAATTAATAATAATAAAAAAAATAAAAATACAAAATCAGATTCGGATTCTGATATTTTCTCATTTTTTGCAGTGTAATTCTTAGTTTAACAGCCACGATATTGAACAATGTCTTCAAATGTATGTAGCTAGTTCCTCACGCTCAGAATTATTTGGTTCTATCACTGATTTTCACATGTTTATATGTTTTCGCCATTTTCCCATTTTTAGATCTGTTTTTTGTATTTTGTAGAGAGAAAGGTGCAAAAGAGAGGTCCACCTTCACATCACAAGGCTATGCAAAAGATCACATGTTTTTTAACATGAAGACAGCATAAGTGAGGAGCACAAAACACATGATAAATGAACAATAATCTATACTAAAAACAAAATAGTATGATAAATGAACAATAATCTATACTAAAAACAAAATAGTATGATAAAGAAGCAAGTGTAAAATCTCTAGCTTTAGCATTATAATTCAATTCCAATAACTTTATTTATCTGTGAGAAACATAATTTGCAGACGGAGCACGAAGATACATAAGGAAGAAAATCTAAATTGAGTTATTCCTGTCAGAATAATGCAAAGCCTATAGTTTTATATATATATTTGAGAGTAGCTTGTCCTATAATGTATGATAATTTGAAAATAACATGTCATATACAAAAATCTGTACAGCTAGAATCCTTAACAAGAAGCACATTGAGGTTGTGGCAGGTCCTTATTATATTAACTTGTTTTAGCAACAGACTCGAAAGCAAAACAAATGTCGGGCATTTCAGTTACACCCACGTTTAGGAAATGATGCTGATGTCTTTGGGCTCGACTCGCTTACAGTAGGACATAATGATACACAGGAAAAAAAGGCAGATAAAACAAACGGCTATTTAGAAACACCCTGGACCATATAATCCCTGTATCCCCGTGGGTTAAAGACTGCACGTTCAGTACTTTTGGGATTATATTTTGCTCTACAAGAGACTGCCTACAAGAAGAGGGAGAGTATTAAAGCAACAGGGAAAGATTTAGCCAGATTGACAATTATTATTTTCATTTTGGACAGTGGTAGTGACGATACCACAATATTTTTGGATCTATTAACATTAATGGACATTGGTCATCAGCCCCTTATTGACCTATGGCTCTATGTGGTTTTTATCATTGCATTTCCTGAGTTTCTCTGATTCTCTGATCTGTGTTAGCGAGTTGATAACTTTGTTAAGACCTCTGTTGTGATTTATGGTTATACAAACATAAATTGAATTGAGTTTAGCAAAAGCAAGCAAGTTCTTTGTATATTATATTGAATTAAGTTCCCATTGTTGTATGGATTTCATTTCAAACAACAAACAATTAAAATCAAATCAATTTCAATTAATTTGAAATGATATTCGGGGCGACAGTAGCTCAGTTGGTAGAGCGTTGGTCTCTGGACCTAATGGTCGTGGGTTCGATTCCACCACGACCCATGTCATCTGCTCCCACTGATGTCTGCTGTCGTTTTGTCCCTGGGCAAGACACTTAACCCCACTTTGCCTGAAGTCCCCGCTGAAAGATCAAGGCCGTATCTGTGATGAAAGAACAGCCATCTTCCCGTGGACCCACCACCTGCAGGAGGATCAGCGAGGGACTGGTGCTATGTGAATTGGGTGGCAACTGACTGACTGCCACCCCCCTGACCCAGAAATGGACAATAAAGGGATGAGAATGAATGAATGAATGAAATGATATTCATTGGGGGCGGGATTACCAATGTCCATAAATGTCTTAACTTTTAAATTTGCATTTAAATGTACTGGTATATAGTTAAAGCTAGGGAATGTAACTTTCAAACCCCAAAAAATAAAATAATACAATCATTCTAACTTACAGTAGTTCGGTTTGTCACTAGTTTCCACTTGTGGCCTCCATTACATCTTTTAGGTCAGTTTTTTAGACAGAAAAGTCAAAGAGAGGACCAAGAGTTAAGTAGTTCCTTTTATGGCTCTGTAGTATGAAAAATATAACCTTTTTTCTAATAAGATGAAGATGTTAAGTTATTGTCTGGCTTTACTACACAAAATGATAAGTACCCCAGCTTTAAGTTTGACATCATATCGGTGAAGTATAGTTTGCTTATGATGTCACAGCCGGGTTTTCCTTTACTTAAAGTGCGTAGGATTTGTGAGTATTGTCGAAAAGTGCTTTAACTCAAGCCTTCTGATGATTTCAGAATATGACGATGGGTTTTCCATGAAGCATTCAGCCGCTGCACGTTTTCAGCGTAACCATCGTCTGATCAGCGAGATCCTGAGCGAGAGCGTGGTCCCAGACGTTCGCTCCGTCGTAACCACGGCCAGAATGCAGGTCCTCAAACGCCAGGTCCAGTCTCTGATGGTCCACCAGGTTTGTTATGTCCTTAGATTCTGATTCAGTTGATTTGCTATTTGCACACTGTAAAAAATTATAAAACACAAGGTGAAAATGGCTTGAATTGAGTGGTTCTTATCATGATCTTAAAACCAGAGTTCACCAAACATGTACAAAAATAAAAAAAGCTTAAAAAGTAGAAGAAACTATTGTCACTGGGAATTGAATGAACAAAAACACCTTCAACACAAGTGCAAGATCATTTCAGTGCTTTGAGAATTCCTGCATCAACACAATCTTCTGCTAGAGGGAAGAAGCTGGAACATGGCTTTTCCAGGGGCCAGAAGAGTAATTAATTATTTGATAAGAGCTCGGTTTACGAGTCTAGATTCATAAAGAACTTCCAGAAAAGGCAGCTCACAGTCCTCTTTACAGACTTATTTCAGCAGTTAGATGTTTAACTATTCTACTATCTCACTATTGTTTTTGTTCATAGAGAAAACTTGAAGCTGAGTTGCTACAGATCGAAGACCGTCACCAGGACAAGAAGAGAAAATTCATTGAAGCGACGGAGTCATTCACCAACGAGCTGAAAAGGGTACGTTCAGGGGCCACGGCTTTACAGAGCTCTATGTGCCATTTACTGGACGCTGTTCAGAGACTGGTTGTTTATGTGGCAGTCTGTAACCAACTGCTGCTAATTCCATTCAGATGTTTCTCCGTCAGTTCTTATAATTTCAGTGCCTTTGCAAGTGTTTATGTGAAATAGGATTCTGCATTGTGAAATCACAATATTTACAAAAGGGGGCGCCATTTGTTCTGTAAAGTTATGGCTACACTCCGAGACAGGAGACAAGTTTAGCTATTCAAGAATTAAATCTCAAGTCCGTCATTAACACACACACATCACTCTGGGTTTAGCTCTGCTGCATGAAGGTGGAAGTGGACATGGATAAGATTTCGTCTGAGATGGCGGCAGCAGAAGAAGCTGCCCGTAAGCGCATGGCAGATCGGGAAAAGGACTCTGGAGAGAGGGGGAGCAGAGAGGGGGCCGCCTGCGTTCTGGCTGAAGAAGAAAAACACGGGAGCAAGGCCCAAAATACTCCCAGTGACATCAGCAAGGACGGAGAGGACGCAGATAGCAACGCAAGAGATGCACCAGGTAATAGTCTCTAGGATATGTGTGTGTGAGAGTGAGAGAAATGTACAATAAAACCCTGGGGAGACAGGGCCTTCTCTGTGGCTGGACCAAACCTATGGAATTTTCTCCCTAGTTGGAGTGTTTTAAGATAAGCTAATATAAACTTTATTGATCTCACAATGGAGTCACATTAAGCGTAGATAGAATCCCTCAGGGTGCGCGAAAAGACAGGAAGTGTGCAAACATGAGATCAATAAAGAATTTCTCATCTCATCTCAAAAGGTTAAAATATATGCTCTCTTTTGTGCAAAGTATATTAAGTACAATAACATTAAAAGTGACATTAGCAGTGCAATTTTTTTCAGTCCTAGTGCAGGTGACTTCTTGTACAGTCTGACAGTTTCATCATTATTACTCTCTGGCTTATAACACAGCATGAGTTGAATGGTTTTAACTGTTTTACTTTAAAGCTGCACTAACTGACTTTGGGATTTTGAAGCCGCGGACTCGCTGGCCTCTCTCTTTCTGCTCCCCTCCCCGCACCCACGAAGCTATCGCCCCCCACACACACTCACTGTTGGGACGGAGCTAGTGTCTCCCAATATGGATAATACATGAATATGGATTTGCACGTGGATGGCGTGACCATAAAACGATAAAACCGGGAAGCGCGGAGGAATGGGACTTTCTTTTGGATGGCTGTTTCGCTGTGTAAGCAGTAACCGGTGATGAAGACACGAAGCTTCAGGTTAGCTCCTCGGCTTGTTGTGCTAACTCAGCCGTCTGTGCTAACGGACCTGTAGATTTCTCACGAAAGTGGGGGCCAGTGGTCCGTTGTGATTGGTCACAATCTGCGACCCGAAACACATTCTCTTCCTTATTTCATCAAAACTCGATCTAATAATAAATAAAATAAATGATAAATGATGATAAAATATAATGTCACGCCAGCACAAATCTGCGCTAATTATTCTTCAAAAGGACGTATATCCCAATGCCCTACATGGACATGGATAGCATTTTCGTAATGAATACGAAAATAAAGTCAGTTAGTGCAGCTTTAAGTGTATGATTGTTTTAATTTAACTTTTGCTTACATGTGTATAATAGATCTTTTCTATTGTTTTATTGTAAGTAGTAAACAAGTAATGTTTATTTATATACCACCTTTCACAGACAGTCACAAAGCGGTTTTACAATTGTTATTTTTTGGGTATTTGTCTCTCACTCCACACAGAGATGGGAGCGGGGTCGCCAGTACAGGAGGCGGATGCCAGAACTATTGTACATATTTTTAGTGGTAGGGGAAACCGGAGTACCCGGAGGAAACCTACGCAGACACAGGGAGAACATGCAAACTCCACTCAGAAAGGCCCTGGTCCGACGGGGATTCGAACCCAGAATCATTTATCTTAAAGTGTGTACATACATAAAGCTCTCAGATTTGTATATTCATATATTTGTTAAGATTCAGATACTTTTTTCGTCCCACAGTGGGGATATTTCAGTGTTGCATCACCGGTGACAGACAGTAGGAATGAGCAGCACAACACAAGATAAATGAACAATAACTATACTTAATAAAAACATTAAAACATAACAAAACATAAAAAAACAAGTATAAAATCTCTATCTTTAATAAAGAAGCAAGCTATATATACTACTGTAGAGCATTTACATTCATTTCCTTGACGCGATTGGATTTACTGATATTTGATGTTTTTTCTCGCGCTGTAGGAAAGCCAAAGGCCACAGAGGAGGGGGAGGGTCCCGGCTGCAGTGAGGAGGGGGTGTCTGAGGACAAAGAGAGCGTCCCAGAAGGAGCGATGGAGGAGGGCACAAGCGACAGCAACACCGGCTCCGAGACCACCTCCGCTCAGACGGAAGACCCGGCCATCAGCGAGTCCTCCGAGGGGCCGAGCCGAGCCAGAGCCCACTGACCCACCTGAATGTCAGAACTGTCCTACCACACATATTGCACAGGTTCATCTCAGATTGTCAAAAGTTCAACAAGTGTTTTTGCCATTTTTTTCAATGTTTTTTGCATGTTGCGTTGAAAAAACACCCAGGCTGCATCTGGAACAAACAAAGCCACTGAACTTTGGTCCTGTTTGAAGATGTTGGTGTGTGAGTGCTCCACAAACAGCCATGTGGGGGCGCTCTCACAGGACGCATTTAGCCATTTGAATAAGTACATATCGTATCATTGCTCTCTTAAAAGGTATTAAAGGAGGATTTTCCCAAATTTTAAGACAGAACCGCCCTCTCCACTTTTTCAGAACAAAACTCTCTGGTCTTATTTGACGAGCACGTATCACCAGAATGATTGACAATTAGGAGGACCAATAATCTTGACGATCCACCCAGAATTAGAAAATCCTCCTTAATACCTTTAAGCTAAATCTGATCAGGAGTTGATTTTAAATTAAAATAGCAGTGTTCAGTGTTGAATTTGGTTCTTTGTATTGTAATATTATTGTTGCTTTTGCATGTTGCTGTTTTTTAACCTGAGTTGACAAAATTGTGAAAAGTGAGGTGGCAGTCAACTTTCCTTTGTTTACTCTGTATCAGTATTACAGTGGCAGTTTTATGTCTCAGGACTTTGTAGTCTTCAGTAGTAATAGTTATTTATTATCAGCATTTTCATTGTACTCGTGCAACGGCCGTCCTTGAGGATGGAAGATCAATGCTGTAATGCCAACTACCAGTGTTCTCAAGTTTGCTGGCTGCCAATCAAATCAACAGCAGTATGCTTAGAACAAGTATGTGTTTTATCAATATTGCAATTTTAACAGAACATTTTTAAATGTGCTGTAATTGTGTACACAGTGTTACGAGGTTTGCATAAAAAATTAGATTCACGTCATACGGCTTGAAGAGGTATTATAAACATGCAGTCTTAAGAAGAATTTCTTTTTTCATATTTATACCAATAAACTTTTGTATACTAAATAACCAGGTTAGTGTTGTCTTGTTTGGACTGTGCGTGTATCTACTGGCAAAGACGCTCTGAGTACACATCAATCAATCTTTATTGGTACTGATTCACAGTTCATGAAAATATTGACCCAACAGACACACCCCAAACAACAGACCCACCCGAAAAAAGCCACAGATAATAGTCCCAGTCAGACAACCGCACTCACAGACACAGGCACACACACATTCACACAGACGCTCGCACACACATACACACAGACATCCTCATACATGCACAACCACACACAAGCTATCATAAAGTCAAAAACATGGGGTTGAATGAAAGTAAAAACCAACCAAGGAAGCACCATCTGAGGAGCCGTCTGCACCTGGAGCAGAGAGCCGCCTGCAGCTGCGAGGGACGACTCAGGACGTGCGTCATCTTCAGTATTAAGATGTAAATTAGTTTTTATGCATATTCTGTAATCTTTAATCATATTTACACTGTATCTACATATGTTTATGAATGTGTACTGTCCCTATCAAGAGCCAGACCCCTACAGCCACAAATATTAACATGTGAGATAAATATTGAAAGGTCGAAAATAAATAGAATCATTAATAATAATGATAATACATAATTATATTTATATTATATAATAAAAATATTTATTTTTATTTAACGCATCTTAAATATGTAAACACATCTCAAGGTGCTACAGCAAGTTAACACACTATAAAAACATACAAACAAGTGTAAATATGCATAAAAAGGTCTGGGCTGCAGCGATAATATATTAGGCCTGGGCTAATATACAGTGATAACGACATGAAAAAGCTAATCTAAAAAGGTGTTTATGACACATATGCAGTACAGTATGCAAATATGCCTATAGCCTTTACCTTTGCTAAGTTGCACGTAAGGGAAGTGGGTACGAGAAGAGGGAACTACACTGATTTCCGGTCTCACTGCAGAGAAGTTCCAATCCAACTGTTTTTGTTAATTCACAAAAACAGTCTTTTGAGTTACACTATTTGTAGATTATTTTGTTCCAGGTATTTTTAAAAATGTGTACAAGTTCATTCTTAGATGTAATCTCTGCGTAGTTTTCATAAACCAATGTTCTCAGAGAGGCACCGTTTTGCGGTTAGAGCTCAGAGCGAAACCAAAAACCTCAAAGATGTGCAGGTGTGGGAGAGTGTGCAGAATCTGAGAGTACTTCTGAGTGTTACTGAGGGATTTAACCTGCAGCTTTTTTTCTGCATGCAATTTAATCAGAATCAGAATCAGTTTATTTGCCATTTGCAGAAAAAAAAAAACTACATTGGAATACAAACAGGAGACACCGGGGGCACCAACACAACAAAGCACACACACAAACAGAATAAAACTAGCGAGACACAGTATAAAACTCTAAAAGCATAATTTAAGCCAGGGGACTACAGATGAAAAATAGCCTCCTTGGCTAATTCTGGCTTTTTTAACCCATGTTTTATCATGTGTTTTATTAAATTGCATTGTCCCCTTTCAAATAAACTAAACTGAAATTGAATTATTAAGACGCTACGATGGAGCTCAAAAAGAAGCAGATCTCAGGACGCTCTGTTCAGTCTTGGAAATGGAAATGGAAATCACAATAAACTTCTATGCTGCCTGGTACTGGTGACCTGCAGAAAGACCAGATTCTTGCACTAATTAAAGAAACATCAAATCAAACCTTTCAGCTTATTCTTTTGTTCTGTAAATAATTGACAATCTGTGAATATTAAATGTTTTTAGTTATTTTTCTGTTGGTGGCCGAAGAATAAATAAATGCTTAAACCTGCACACAACGTAGGACCATACTTTCAATAATGGCTTAAAAACAATGGAATAGGGCTTGCCAATACCACATTAATTTCAGAAATTGACTCACTACAAATACGTTATAGTATAATGAATGCATGTATTTCCTGTAGATTTTATTATGTTTCTCTATGTTATCATTGTTGTTGGTGCAGTTCATATTCTCAAACAGAACAACAAACCCATTCCTATGCAAAATATTATGAAAATTATGAAATATTTTAAAAGTTTAAATGTCCTTAGTTTTTTCAAGTTCATATTTCCCTCCCTGAGAAACAGCTTCTGGACTCCAAGGTTAAAAATAGGCCTGTTTAGCTGCGCATACAACTGAAGAATTCACTTGTTTTAATATTCACGATTGGTTTCTTATCTTGCTTTGTGTTAGGCATGAATAATCTTGCCTCGCCATGGACTTTTTTGCAATCTGGAAATTAAACATAATTCCGTGTCAACACCAAGGGAGATGTATACGTATTAACATGTATGAAGAAAAGGAACAAATGCAAACCACATATTGTCATACTAATGGCGGACATGCCAGGGCTGTATATGTGCTGTATGTCTGTGGTTTGTCTGTGGTTAGATCTCTTTAAAAGCTGCAGAGAAAGTCGGCTGTTTTTACAACGAGGGAAACCACCATCAAACACAGACGCTGATCTGAACACACAGAGGATGACTCGGATCACTGGTAGGAGCCACAAAAGACACTTTTATTGAATGAGCATTTCATCTGTACTATTTCTTATGGATCATTTACTCATTTTACTTGTTTGTGTGCTGTTTGCTCCCATTTTTGTTGCCTGTTTTAGTTTCAAATTGACGTTTTCATGTGTCTGAATTAAAGATGAAATTAACTAATATTGATAATGTGCTAATATTATCAAATGAATACTGTTATAAGGATCAGAAAGTGTTTTAGGGACATGGTTGTTGCAAGTTTGGGCGGTGTAGGAATGTTCTATATTTTAAAAAGTGAAATGATATTAAAAGTTGAGGAACTTTCACATATGTATAATCATTTCAAAAGCTTTCAAAACAGTTCAGTTCTATCGTTAGGTTTCACACGCATGTGAATTTGGCTTCTGACTCACTTCTAGATCAGCTTTTACAGACAGAAAATTAAAAATATAGAGGACCAACTTCCCTCAGCCAATCAGCTCTCAGCCCAAAGCGTCAAATAGTGACTCATAGGGTCCAGTATGCAAAGTAAAACATTTCTCGTTCTCAAGATAAAGACGGTGTGGTGTGGTCAAAAAAATTCTTTGGGTGAAAACATTACTTTTTACATATACTAAAGAGTCACTCTGGCTTTAACCCTGTAGAACCCAGACAAACAAATATTTATGACCCCAAAAAGGATTAAGGGGATGGATGGATGGCGTTCAATGACCAAATAAGACAATGTAACATGTGAGCTTCTTTGGGTTCTTGGGTTCATACATACATACATATTTTGTAACTAAAGGTGCCACTGGGTTTTAACTGGTTTTACATTTCATTATTGAGAGATGAGATGAGATTAGACTTCATTATCTCACAATAGAGAAATTCAGTCCGATGAATAAACATCAAGGCTAGTTGCGTACACTGTTTTCATATTTCCGCGCTCCTTATGACAGTTGTTCAACAGCAGAGAGCAAAACAAACATATTTCACAGACATTACTCCAAATATTTCAAGCACTTGTTCATCTATATCAGATTTATTTTTCTTTTTATAGAGCTCTAATAATGCCTTTGATTACTATATAAAAAAATAATAGTGTTTCGGGCATCTGAAAACTCGTAAATATAAGTTACAGAACTTATTACATGATAAAGCTGCTCATCATAATTATTGATTAAGAGGAAGCAAAAAGTATATGTGCCTAAATGTAGGACTACTTTAAAATCAATGTGTGTCTGAGTGCGTGGAGCTGCTAAATGATTTATCAGATTAATAAAAGACCTGCTAAAATCTGATTAAATTAAAAAAAGATGTTTAGAAAAGATGTATTGAAGAAATATGTGGAAGAAAGAGAGTGATGCCTTGAGTACAGAGCAAGCAGTGGGAGAGAGCTGTAGGGTCGGAGAGTGTTTGGGCCTGTGTGTTGTCAGAGTGTGTGTGTGTGTGTGTGTGTTTTGTGTTGTCTGTCTCATACCATGGGTGGTAGTATTATATCACTCTTTGTACTGTACAGTTGTATGTTTGAGAATTCTACTGCATGATATTGTTAAAATAGTGTGTGTGACGGAAGTTTGAATCCAATAAACATCTGCTTCATCCAATCCCCTCCAAGTAATTTGTCTGTTATATGGATATATGTAAAAATATGTATTGTGCAGGTTCGAAATAAAATAATGTATATATTGTTTTTTTCTTTTCAGGCCATCATATTCTGGCTGGGATTTTAACATGGAGCATTATGCTAAAGGTAAAGCATCAACAACACCTCACCCTGAGTCCTGCTGAAGGCTTCATCAAAAAGGCTCCAAAAAAATGCAATTTGAAAGTGCTGTCCCTGTCATGGGGTGAAAGAAAAAGAAGGAACCAATCTGCAGGGCTGCAAAAAAAGCAAGCCCTCATTGATCCTCCTCGCATCTAGTCCGGCCAGTCGATTGGTTGTTTTCTCAGTAGTCTTATATTAGGGCTGCATGATATGTAAAAAAAAAAAAAATTTTTATCGCGATATTGGTGCATGCAATATCCATATAAAAAATATCCGCGATAAAAAAAAGAAAACAGACACATCAAATATCATATAAGTACCTTCAGGTACCTTCGCCCTGTCGGCACTTATTTTTCGATAATGACCTGTGTACGATACATAATCCCTTACTTAGTTTTCCGTCCCCAAAATATATTCGCGACAAAAAATATGACTAATATTTCGTCAACAAAATGAACACACTGCATCCATATACTTTTCATGTTCTTTCTTCCTTATAGATTTGTGTGGGTCAAGAGGACGAGAAGAACTCCACGGCAGACTACGACTACGCAAAAGAAACGAACGTTTCTTTTGACTATAGTGGTTTTGAGGTGATGTGTTCCAAAGAAGGCTATCGGCAGTTCCAGCAGTGGTTCATTCCCACTTTCTACGCCATTATTTGCTTTGTGGGCCTCGTTGGAAACCTGCTCGTCATTCTCACCTATTTCTACTTCAACCGCCTGAAAACCATGACCGACGTGTACTTGCTCAACCTGTCATTCGCCGACCTCTTCTTCGTCCTTTCTCTCCCTTTCTGGGCGTTTAACTCGATGCGCGAATGGGTGCTAGGTCTGGCTGTGTGTAAGATCATTTACTCGGTCTATAAGGTCACCTTCTACAGCAGCATGTTCCTCCTCTCCTCCATAAGCGTGGATAGATACTTCGCCATTTCCAAGGCCGTGTCTGCTCATAAACACCGCTCCCAAGCCGTTTTTTTCAGTAAAATTTCGTCCGCGGTGATGTGGGTGCTTGCCTTCATTTTTTCGATACCTGAAATGAAATTCACCACCATCAATAACAACACATGCACGCCTTACGCCAGCACCAATGACAAGTTACGGGTTAGTCTTCAGGCCAGTCAAATTGTCCTCACGTTTCTCCTACCACTAATTGTCATGAGCTTTTGCTACATTAGCATCATTTGGACACTCAGCCGCACCCGAGGGTTTGAAAGAAATAAAGCCATCAAAGTCATTTTGGCAGTGGTCGCAGTATTCCTCAGTTGCCAAATGCCATACAACATTGTCCTGTTTTGGACCACTCTTGTCACAGCGAAGGGAGGAAGTACCGTTTGCGACGATGACAATACTCTATACTACGCAAAATATATCACCCAGAGTTTAGCGTTCTTCCGGTGCTGCCTCAACCCCATTGTGTACGCCTTTCTTGGGGTGAAATTCAGGAATGATGTTCTGAAACTTCTCAAGCACTTTGGCTGTTTGAGTCAAGAGCGATTTTTCAGATATGCGTTCTCTAAAAGGAAGGGGTCTTTGGCTACAGACACAGAGACATCCACCACCTTCTCGCCGTGAACATTGGAAAGCAGCTTTCATTTTAGTTCAATGCATAGACTGTATATAAATGAACGTTGCTAACCCGCTAGCTCAATGAAACCCAATAGGGAATATGGGCAAAGTTTTGCTCTAACTCGCTCTGGCTTTTATTGACTCAAATCAAAAACTAAACTCTTCTAGCGCAGAAAGCGTTGGTTGCGGTTAAGTGCGCTCTGTGATATTTTTGATATCCATCCATCCATCCATTTTCTTCCCCTTAATCCATTACTGGGTCACGGGGGTGGCAGTCAGAGCTGCACCCAGTACACTTAGCACCAGCCCCTCACTGATCCTCCTGCAGGTGGTGAGTCCACAGGAGCCTTGGCCTTTCAGCAGGGGCTTCAGGCAAAGTAGGGTTAAGTGTCTTGCCCAAGGACACAACGACAGCAGTCATCAGTGCGAGTTGTGAAGTAGGTCATGTGGTGGGCTCAAACCCACGACCTTCAGGCCCAAAGGCCAATGCTCTACCAACTGAGCCACTGTCGCCCCAATTTTTTAAATTATCTTTGTAAATCCAGATATTAACCCTTCCGTATTTGGCAAACTCTGGGCATTAGGAAATTGGTGCTGTTCGTGGGCCGCATCCAAATCGCTTTTATGCTTTATTCTTCATTGTCGTATGCATTTGACCGTTTATGAGACAATGATAGTCCTGGTTTGGTCAAGTGAAAATAAAAACGTTTTTTAAGTTTTTGTTGATGCTAAATAAAATAAATAATATTGTAATATTGGTTGACTAATGTTTTCAAAATGAGAATAAAGGACAATGGAGGAAGCTGTCTCACAGAAGTCTGAAACTGTGAGACAGAAAATCGTTTCATCTTATCCTTATGTCTCTATGTCACAAATTAAAATCTTACACGTCAAAAACTCCTGTAGTCTGTAGCCAGTTTAAGGGAGTCTTGGAGTCTGGCATTGTGATAAGTCAAACAAGAAGCAAGGCCATTGTACATCCACATGTCACTGTCATCTGTATGCATCCAGTCCAGTCTAGATATATACATAGTTACACATAACAACACAACATACAGTACATATCAACATTTGCTTTGTGAATGGCAACTGTCTATTTCTTATAATCAAGTCTCCTTACCGTAATAATATCTTTGTGTATCTTTTAGGTCCACAGTTGCATAGAAACATTGTATTGTTCTGTAATCTGGTGTTTTAGTCAAGCAAGGTCATTGCTCCAATTTCCACTTGTTGTCATGGTGTGGATTTTTTTAAATGTTTGTTTTTATATCATTTCTCTGTGGCTTTGTTTTAGTTTTACTTCCAGTCCTGTTACCTGGTGTTAAAGATGCAGTCAGTAATTCTTTCAATTTTTTTTTATTTTTGATATTGTGTGAAAATGTCCCTAAACCCTAAAAGTAGTCAAGTTATCAAGTGTTTTCAAATAGTAATGGAATTGACCAGAAACCTAGGGTCTCCAAAAATTAGGCCGATAAAAATAAACCATTAGGATTCGTTCTTCCCAAACAAACCAATGGGAGTTACCCCCCTTCACCCTCTTCCTGTTATCAGATTTTTTTAAACCTAAAAGGGTTGAATAGACGCCAATTTCACATTTGCCACCCACTCTCCCTGTTGTGACAAAGAAAAGAAAATGCTGAATGTTTGGTTTGGTGGAGAGGCGAGGGCAGGGGGCTACGGCTAAGCTAAGAAAATCACTTACTGCATCTTTAATTGCCTGCCCCCGCGTTTGTATCTGTGCTCTTCTCCACTTGTTGCTGCTCCAATGACTTTTTTTGTCTATGTCCATGTTCCTGGTTCCTGTGAATCATTTGTATTTTTGAGTTTGTTTTTACCTTGACTATTATATTTCATCATTAAATCATTATTATTTTTTCATTCCCGTGTTTTTGTATTGTATCTTATGCTGGAGTAGTTTTTTAATCCAGCATCATGCATTTCTCATTTGTTGTTTTGTAAATCAAAAATAAATGTATTCTTTTTTTTTTGGTTTCTTCAGTTGAACTCTGCTTCAACATAATAATGACGCACACTTTTCCCTACACCATATTGGCTCTAATTACACTTCCAGAGAAAGGGAGCATTCTTCATATACAGTGCCTTGCGATTTTTTGTCATGAATCAACAACAAGTGGGACACAATCGTGAAGTGGAACAAAATTTATTGGATAATTTAAACTTTTTTAACAAATAAAAAACTGAAAAGTGGGGCGTCCAATATTATTCGGCCGCTTTACTTTCAGTGCAGCAAACTCAGTCCAGAAGTTCAGTGAGGATCTTTGAATGATCCAATGTTGTCCTAAATGACTGATGATGATAAATAGAATGCACCTGTGTGTAATCAAGTCTCCGTATAAATGCACCTGCTCTTTGATAGTCTCAGGGTTCTGTTTAAAGCGCAGAGAGAACCATGAAGACAAAGGAACACACCAGGCAGGTCCGAGATACTGTTGTGGAGAAGTTTAAAGCCGGATTTGGATACAAAAAGATTTCCCAAGCTTTAAACATCTCTAGGAGCACTGTGTAAGCAATTATTTTGAAATGGAAGGAGAATCAGACCACTGCAAATCTACCAAGACCCGGCCGTCCCTCCAAACTTTCATCTCAAACAAGGAGAAGACTGATCAGAGATGCAGACAAGAGGCCCATGATCACTCTGGATGAACTGCAGATAACTACAGCTGAGGTGGAAGAGTCTGTCCATAGGACAACAATCAGTCGTGCACTGCACAAATCTGGCCTTTATGGAAGAGGGGCAAGAAGAAAGCCATTTCTCAAAGATATCCATAAAAAGTCTTGTTTAAAGTTTGCCACAAGCCACCTGGGAGACACACCAAACATGTGGAAGAAGGTGCTCTGGTCAGATGAAACCAAAATCGAACTTTTTGGCCACAATGCAAAACGATATGTTTGGCGTAAAAGCAACACAGCTCATCACCCTGAACACACCATCCCCACTGTCAAACATGGTGGTGGCAGCATCATGCTTTGGGCCTGCTTTTCTTCAGCAGGGACAGGGAAGATGGCTAAAATTGATGGGAAGATGGATGAAGCCAAATACAGGGCCATTCTGGAAGAAAACCTGTTGGAGTCTTCAAAAGACCTGAGACTGGGACGGAGATTTATCTTCCAACAGGACAATGATCCAAAACATAAAGCCAAATCTACAATGGAATGGTTCACAAATAGACGTATCCAGGTGTTAGAATGGCCAAGTCAAAGTCCAGACCTGAATCCAATCCAGAATCTGTGGAAAGAGCTGAAGACTGCTGTTCACAAACGCTCTCCATCAAACCTCACTGAGCTCGAGCTGTTTTGCAAGGAAGAATGGGCAAGAATTCCAATCTCTCGATGTGCAAAACTGATAGAGACATACCCCAAGCAACTTGCAGCTGTAATTGCAGCAAATACAAAGTATTAGCGCAAGGGGGCCGAATAATATTGCACGCCCCACTTTTCAGTTTTTTATTTGTTAAAAAAGTTTAAATTATCCAATAAATTTCGTTCCACTTCACGATTGTGTCCCACTTGTTGTTGATTCTTGACAAAAAGAATAATTTTTATATCTTTATGTTTGAAACCTGAAATGTGGCGAAATGTTGAAAGGTTCAAGGGGGCCGAATACTTTCGCAAGGCCCTGTATATACTGTGATGAAACAGCCACAAACTGCACTAGTATCTGACTCACTGAAGTAGCAATATGTAAGATCTTCATGTCAAGTCATAATTAAATGGCCCTAATCTGTCAAAAGGCATTCATAAATCATGCTCTTTTCCGAAACTTCTTTAAATGACAACAGTAGTTCAGTCAAGGTATTCTAATTTCAATAATAGTTTTACAGCCGCTAAATCTTGTTATTGTTTTCATTTCCATGTCCCGCCCTCCACGGTCTCACCAATCAGAAAGTCCGTGATTCGGGTTGCCTGATCTCACCACGTCGAGCTAATCTCACTGGTAAAGTAACGTGTGGCCGCAAAACTAAAAAAGATCTCATTATGATTCTCATATTATCAATAACAAAACGATTATTTCAGCTCAGAAAATCAGCTCTCCGCCCAAAGTGTCAAATTGTGACTCATAGGGAACTATGATATACAGTGTGAAAAGTTATACAAAATAAGTAAAACATAGCTAAAATTTGGCAAAATGTATCTTAATATCCATCCATCAATCCATCCATTTTCTACCCCTTAATCCATTTCTGGGTCGGCTGTCAGTGATGCCACCCAAGTCACATAGCACCAGCCCCTTAATATTCTAAGTATCTTAATTATGACTGCCTTAAAACAAGACATGCCTATGGGACAAGCAAACTTATCTTGCTTTTAGACTAAATAGGCTTAGCTGCATCCATCGGCAATTATTCTTTTAAGACAGTTAGAATGTACTCAAATTGAAATAAAAATCTCTCGATTCAAGCAATTTTAATTTAATATTTTATACTTTTTTGCTGTGTGGGGCCACCAAAATGTCTCTTGTGTCTTTCTTAGACGTATGCAAACGTTTAGCAGCCCGTTGTGATTTGTGATTCTGTGACACTTGTCATGTCAGGATGGCACTTATGAGGATGTTAGGAGGAACAAAGTTAAGCAGGGGCAGCTTCTAGTGCAGATCCGGTGAAAGTTTATTTACATTATTTACATTTTCGTGTTAAAATCAGGACAGCATGTCCACCAGCCCTCCCCCTGCTCAGAGTTGGTGGCCTGCTTTTATAGCAGGTGACAGTAATTAGACCACACCCACTGAAGCTCAAAATCCACAAAATATACAACAATAATTAAAGCCGTGAATCTATCCTCTACAAATTACAAAAATATATCTCTTTATTAATTTAGCAGTGATTTATTCTACAACATTACTAAATTAGAAAAATAAAACCCAGGACACCCCTCCTCCTCTTTGCAGAGTGGATGCACCCGGAACCCTCTTTGCATTAAAACTCAATCTTTAATAAACTTTCTTTAAAACATTTGAGTGTCTCATTCCCCTCACCTGTGAACACCTATAGTAATGGACTCTGCTCCATTACAGATTCCTAACATTTTACTTTTGGGAACAAACTTAGGCACAACCAACATGCATTATTAATGAGAGGGAAAAGTGAAGTACCCCGGCTTTAATTGAATGCATTTTCAAATGAGCTTCTTGAGGCTTTGATCTTCCAGATTTCTCAGATTTGATTATTTCTCTGTGTATTTGTTCTCTGTTTCATGCAGCTAAAATCTGGAACAGTCTTCCTGAAAATGTGAGACAGGCTTCTTCTTCTGACAGTGCAGTTCTGTTCAGCTGTACATACAACTGAGGGATTTACTCTTTTAATGCACTGTGATTATTTATGATTTTAATGCTGTTTTATTCTGTTCAGCTCTTGAGTTGCCCTTTGTATGAATTGTGCTTTATATAAATAAACTTGCCTTAACCTTGCATCTAAAGATGTGACAGAGGCCAAAAGTACATGTATGTGAAAAGAACAGCTGAAAGAGTCTTAAACTAGTGACACAGCTGAATTAAAAAAAAAATAGGGACTTGTAGCTTTAAATATTTGGTTATGTTTGATGCAATCATTGTTACATTTTTAGTAATTGAGTTTTTTAACAGAGTTTTTTTTGCATTCATTTTGCTAAAGATATAGATTTTGTACTTGTTTCTTCTTCATGGTAGAGTTAGAGAATTTTTATTTTATTCGAATTAGGATAGAGTTACTGTTCATTTATCTTGTGCTGTGTGCTCCTCATTCCTACTGTTCTGTAACTGGTGATGCAACACTGAAATTTCCCCACTGTGGGACAAATAAAGGATCTCTTCATCTCAATATGAAAATGAACTACTTGTGTATGTTTTAGCAAAATTACTATATATGCTAACATGGCTCATGGTAAAGCTGTCTGTCATATGTACTCAAGGATTGGCATTGATTAAAAAAGTAAGTAAGTAATCTTATTTTTATTTATCGCACATAAATCTTATTACTCAGTGCCTTGTGGCTACTCTTTCTACACACATTCCTGTTGTATGTCTTGTAGTATTTCGTCATTATTTGCTTAAACACACAGCAATGAAAAAGGCGTCTGTACTCATACTTTAAAACAAATGATCTTTCCCCTACAGACACCATTTCAGCTGCCATTCATAATGATAAAACTTCAGCAGGTGTCTGTCTATCTTGGGAAAGACTTGATGAATTATTTTCCAGAGAAGCATTAACAAGGGCACAGCCTGGAGACACAAACTTGCCTCTCCGGAGACGGTGACATCACAGGGCAGTCATTGGGTTGCATAGCATTAGCTGCTTCCTGCTCTCCTCATAGGCTCACAGGGAAAGGGGCTGGGATGGACTAATAAAAGCATGTGCCACATCAAACCAAGAAAGTAAATCTGTTTCAACAGTGAGAAAGCAGAACCGTCTCCAGTCCTCACCACAAGAAAACAAGGTAAGAGATTTATACATGAATTATATAACTATAAGCCACATTACTGCCATTGTAAACTTGTATAATTGTAATAAATTGTATTGTTTATTAAATCTGCTTCAGCCCGCGTCAAAAACTATCCAAAAGTCATGCATTTGAGGGTTCTATAGTGGGACGAAGTAATTAAATCTACTAAAAATGTAGTAGTAGATGTAGTATTTGCCTTGTAGATCCTAGCACTAAAAAGTCACATTACAAGCATTTTTTGTTACTGTTGTTATTCTGCAGTATTTCATGCCAGTATTTTCATCTAAAAAACTTGTAAACGTTTAAAAATAAAAAAAATCTGCTATGCTTTTAATTGTTAAGGATAACCCTCAACGCATGCAGGCATTTTAAAGTGAAAGAAATCGAAAATCCAATTCACTTTATACAATTATCTAGATTCTAGATAGTCTACTCACAAATGTATACTGTATTTATTCTGTGTGCTGTGTGTTGATTTTATCTCGGATCAAATCTGCTAATTTTGAAGTTACTCCCATTTGTGTATATGCTGTTTTCTGCAATGGGCTGTCGCTATGGTAACCGGGCTGCCAGGTGACTCATGGCTGGGACCACTCCTTTCTAAAAGTCAATATGAGACACTCCACACACCCAAAATGTGATCCGCACTCTAAGCACAGCATGAGTTTCCTTAATTATTATTCATATTTAGACATTCTTTGCTTGAGAAATCCAAAGTGCCTCAGGATGGCCTTGGGCGGCACATTAATCTTGTGTTTTTACAACTTCTGGAATTAGTGTATGTGTATGTTATGACTATAGTAAAAGTCAGCTGATGATGAAAGCATGACTACGACAATTACACAACTAAAAGCCAATAAACAATATGCTGATATACAGTGCCTTGCGAAAGTATTCGGCCCCCTCGAACCTTTCAACATTTCGCCACATTTCAGGCTTCAAACATAAAGATATAAAAATTTAAATTTTTGTCAAGAATCAACAACAAGTGGGACACAGTCGTGAAGTGGAACGAAATGTATTGGATAATTTAAACTTTTTTAACAAATAAAAAACTGAAAAGTGGGGCGTGCAATATTATTCGGCCCCCTTGCGCTAACACTTTGTAGCACCACCTTTTCCTGCAATTACAGCTGCAAGTCGCTTGAGGTATGTCTCTATCAGTTTTGCACATCGAGAGACTGGAATTCTTGCCCATTCTTCCTTGCAAAACAGCTCGAGCTCAGTGAGGTTGGATGGAGAGCGTTTGTGAACAGCAGTCTTCAGCTCTTTCCACAGATTCTCGATTGGATTCAGGTCTGGACTTTGACTTGGCCATTCTAACACCTGGATACGTCTATTTGTGAACCATTCCATTGTAGATTTGGCTTTATGTTTTGGATCATTGTCCTGTTGGAAGATAAATCTCCGTCCCAGTCTCAGGTCTTTTGCAGACTCCAACAGGTTTTCTTCCAGAATGGTCCTGTATTTGGCTCCATCCATCTTCCCATCAATTTTAGCCTTCTTCCCTGTCCCTGCTGAAGAAAAGCAGGCCCAAACCATGATGCTGCCACCACCATGTTTGACAGTGGGGATGGTGTGTTCAGGGTGATGAGCTGTGTTGCTTTTACGCCAAACATATCGTTTTGCATTGTGGCCAAAAAGTTCGATTTTGGTTTCATCTGACCAGAGCACCTTCTTCCACATGTTTGATGTGTCTCCCAGGGGGCTTGTGGCGAACTTTAAACAATACTTTTTATGGATATCTTTGAGAAATGGCTTTCTTCTTGCCACTCTTCCATAAAGGCCAGATTTGTGCAGTGCACGACTGATTGTTGTCCTATGGACAGACTCTCCCACCTCAGCTGTAGTTATCTGCAGTTCATCCAGAGTGATCATGGGCCTCTTGTCTGCATCTCTGATCAGTCTTCTCCTTGTTTGAGATGAAAGTTTGGAGGGACGGCCGGGTCTTGGTAGATTTGCAGTGGTCTGATACTCCTTCCATTTCAATATAATTGCTTGCACAGTGCTCCTTGAGATGTTTAAAGCTTGGGAAATCTTTTTGTATCCAAATCCGCCTTTAAACTTCTCCACAACAGTATCTCGGACCTGCCTGGTGTGTTCCTTTGTCTTCATGGTTCTCTCTGCGCTTTAAACAGAACCCTGAGACTATCAAAGAGCAGATGCATTTATACGGAGACTTGGTTACACACAGGTGCATTCTATTTATCATCATCAGTCATTTAGGACAACATTGGATCATTCAAAGATCCTCACTGAACTTCTGGAGTGAGTTTGCTGCACTGAAAGTAAAGGGGCCGAATAATATTGCACGCCCCACTTTTCAGTTTTTTATTTGTTAAAAAAGTTTAAATTATCCAATACATTTCGTTCCACTTCACGATTGTGTCCCACTTGTAGTTGATTAATGACAAAAAATTAAAATTTTATATCTTTATGTTTGAAGCCTTAAATGTGGCGAAATGTTGAAAGGTTGAAGGGGGCCGAATACTTTCGCAAGGCACTGTAAATATCCGTGGAGGTGCTACAGTGTTGCAGACAGGTTTGTTTTGAACTTCCTGAACTTAAAAAAAAAAAAAACATTTTCTTTGTTCCAACAGAAAAAAGCAATATAATGAAATAATAATAATGCATCAGTTTTATATAGTGCTTTTTTGGACACTCAAATAGCCTCAGCTGCCACGAGGCATAGTGACAGAAATGAGGCAACCAGTAAGTGCCATCAGCCCCTCCAACCACCACTGGGTGAAGCAATGTGGGTGAAGTGTCTTGCCTAAGGACACAACAACAGTTTGCCACTTTACAGCTGCAGCCCCTGGATCTATAGTAATAACTGGATAGGGTATTACTAGCTTACAGCTGTCCCACCTATGTACCCGTGGTACTGCAAACTAAATTCACGAGGGCTACCCAGAAAAAAGAACCTACAGCTTTCATAAAGATCGGATTTTGTGGGGATTTTAGTGTCCCTTGTCATCCTGAACTTTTTTTCTTCTTAAATCCTTCGGTTTTCTTTAAATCCACACTTTACTGCCACAAACTCTGCTCCTTGCCTTCCTGCTCTGGCTCCGCTCTTCCGCTGCTCTGATGAACTGCTCTGATTGGTCAGAGCGCGGGCGAGCCCCTCTGTGCGCGTGCATGAAAGCCACACACGCACAATTTCCGCGACACATCATGGGAGATAGCTAAACGCATCATGGGAGCTCGTCCACTGCGCAGAACCGGGAGGACCAGACGTTGCCCAAATATAGGCGAGTTCAGCTAATCTCCCTTCTCCATGAAGTCCCATGCTCTACTGAGTACAAGCCATTCATTTGAATAGGGCGCCATCTTGGATCACCGGCCACAGCCGCCCCACTGTGGCACCTGGTGTTCTCAGAGGTCTCCCATAACAGTACTAACCAGGCTCTCTCCTGCTTAGCTTCAGAGGTCTAACAGGTTCTGGCTTTCACATTCAGGTGGACCACAATAGGCTGTATTAAATTGATTGGATTTTTTAATTTTTTATCTTTTGTTACTTTTTAAGAAGAGCCCACTTTTTGACGCTTTGAGCTGAGAGCTGATTGGCTGAGTGAGGGCAGTCCTTTTACCCCCCAAAAATGGATGTGAAGATCCAGGATCCAGAGCTATAGGAACTTGGAAAGGACTTCACGTTGTTCAATCTTGTGTTTAAAAGTTAGGTACCCCAGCTTTAACTCATCAAATAATTTTGGGCATGTGTGTTTCCATAAATGTCTAGTATAACAACTTGTGGAGACAGATCTGAGCCCTGCTTAAAGAAAGAACACATATCTTCAAGATGTTTTGTGGAACCAAGCATGCGAAAACCAGTCCCAGTCAGACCTCTGAAGCTAAGCAGGGCAGGGCCTGGTTAGTACTGTGATGGGAGACCTCTGGGAACACCAGGTGCCACAGTGGGGCGGCTGTAAAGTGCCAAACTGTTGTTGTGTCCTTAGGCAAGACACTTCACCCACAATGCCTAGAATGAGTTTGGTGTGTTTGTGATCGGTTGGTGGTGGTCTGAGGGGCCGATGGCACAAACTGGTTGCTTCGCTTCTGTCACTGTGCACCAGGGCAGCTGTGGCTACTGTAGTGTATGTACCGTGTATGGAGCGGGGGAAAAAATGACAGGTGAAGCTTCTTTGAGTGTCCAAAAAAGCGCCATAGAAAACCAATGCATTATTACCATTATTATCATCATTATCGATCATAAACACAGATGGTGACTGGTTTGGTACTATCTGTGTTCAACTTCTTCAAAAAAGTGGCCTGTGACTGAGCAATAGCAGGAGTGTAATGTAATATCTCGTCTCTGTGGAAACAAACAAAAAGCATGCCACGAGAGCAAAGAAAAGTCATGCGTGACAAATAATGAGCCACTTAAAGTTGTCATTTTAAGAGAACATTGTATTGTTTGCTCTGGTCGAGGGCTAACAGAAGTGCTAATCTGCAGCTGTAGTCCGGGTCCTGGAGCCGGTTGATGTCACAGTAAATCAAAGGTAGACTGCTGTACATTACATTCATTATCGGACAAAAGTTGGCACACATAATTAAAAATATGCAATATAGTTCAAAGGTTATGGCAAAAATGAGTATGACTTTTTTATTTAAAACAATTACTTATGTATGTTCCCAGGAACCCAAATAAGCAAATATGCTACATTGCCAAATTTGGTCATTGAATGCATGCTTTCTAAAAAATAGCACAGATTTTTTTCAACTAATATTTTTATGCAAGGTTTCTACTGGGTTTTAAGAATACGTTATAAGTGATGATCCAGGACAGTACACATGTCCACAACATTTATGGACTTTTATCAACATTTGTGGACATGGGTCATCTGCCTCTTACGGACCAATGGCTCTATGCGCTTTTTTTAATCATTGCATTTCTTCTGTTTGAACCGTTTGATTCTCTGCTCTGTGTTGGCAAATTCAGCGGTTTTGTTAAGTCATCTGCCATAACCACTGTTGTCATTTAGGGCTGTATAAAAATGAATGGAATTGAATAATAATAAAACTACCCAGAACTCATTCATATAGAGCTAATACACACACCCACCACACATGGTTACAGATTTGTCTTTCTAAACGCCACACGCAAATGCTTTTATGTGATCATCTGATATCATGATTGTGATACAGGCCTGTTTTTTTGAATTTCTGTAATATTCACTACACAAAAATGACTGTATTTCTATTTTAGACAGTGCATTGTAAGTGATACGGTCTTTTCTCCATTGTGTTTGTCTGTCTCCAGGGCGGCAAAGCTCTACTATTATGATGCCTACAGCTGAAGGCATGTCACATATGATACCGGCTCATGTTCTGAGGGTGGGACAGACTACATCTCCAGAGGCCAAAACCAATCACCACCTCCTCCCCTGCCCCGGCAACGATCTGAGCGTGGGACATATCAACAATGAACTCGACGTCTCCCTGGAAAAGCTCAACCAGCTCATCCTCGAACTCGATCCGACATTCGAGCCGCTGGAGGTGCAGAAAAGTCCAACCTCAGGTACAGAAGTTTCCTATACATGCAGTCTACGTAAAACACAGACATCGCAAGAAATTGGGAAATAGCTCAAGAATTTGCCATCTGCAGTAAAACCACATTGGAAAAACTGTGCAAGACTACCCCACAAAAGTGATCAGCAAAACCAGTGTGACAAATCATGCTCCACTTTGGGTTGCCCTGTGTATAAATTGTGCTTTACAAAAAAAACTTGACCTGCCTTGCCTTGCCAGGTCCGACTGCCTGTTCACTAATACGGAAATTCAGGTGCACCACCCCATACATAAAGAATACATGTTTTTAAAGCAATCAATCAGGATGAATTAATTATTTGTAATTTAAATCAAGATAATAATGAATAACTTTAGCATGTTCTTTAATGTTTCTCTAAGTCCTTGGAATATCATCCTAAAGCAGACATTGCAAAAATCATAATAACAATGTTAATCTGAAAAATCACGATTATTTTGAATGTTAATATCTACAATTGTTTCCGTGTTGCTTCATTCAAACTCTTCCCACAATTCTAACTCATATTTCCCACCAGTTAAATCCGATTTGCATTTTCACGTCTGATTTCTTTCCTTGTTCAATTCTTTGCCACTATTGTCCTGCTGCAGACGTGCACCACACCCTGCGCCGCATCTGAAACCAAATCTGAGCCCAAACTTCTCTTTGATCAGATTCGAGAGGTCAGATTATGAATAGATTTCCTGTTGCACATTGTTGACTTGAAATGAATACGTTTTTGAATCCGAGTCCATTGGGGCCACCACTCTTTTTTTACAACTACTGTAAGAGGACGCCTGCTGTACGACAAAGCAGAAAAAGATGAAAATAATACTGATCGCTAAGTTAAGGAATATTGTGTTTTGGTGGAGCGTGCGCCACTTAACTACCTTGTGCGTTACTTCTGTCTCAGCTCAACTTAAAATAAACAATAGAAAATATTACCCAGCTTTGCCAAATAGAGCATAAATGTTTCATCATACCTCAACTTTAAGAGACAGAATAAGAAAAAGATTTGAGAAAATAAAAATCATAAATCTGATTTTTAAAGAATTTATTTGAAAATGATGGTGACTCTCACAGATCTGTACCTCCTTCTTTAAGAGGCTCCTCTGTCCTCTACTCGTGGGAGAACAAATGCTGGCTGACTAAATACTTTTCTGCACCACTGTATAGGGCTACAGCACTGGGGGCGACAGTAGCTCAGTTGGTAGAGCATTGACCTTAATGCCACAAGGTCGTGGGTTCAATTCCCACCTCTGCACCTTCTCCATCGACTCCCACTGATGACTGCTGTCGTTGTGTCCTTGGGCAAGACACTTAACCCCACTTTGCCCAAAGCCCCCACTGAAAGATCAAGGCTATGCTCACACTCAGAGAGCAGCCGTCCTCCTGTGGACTCACCACCTGCAGAGGGTCAGTGAGGGGCTGGTGCTATGAGACTTGGGTGGCATCTCTGATTGCCACCCCCCTGACCCAGAAATGGATTAAAGGGTAGAAAATGGATGGATGGAAGGATGTATAGGGCTGTATAAAATACATTGGATTGGATTGAATTGAATTGAAGCTATATTTTGTATGTAAGATACGATAAGATAAACTTTATTGTCCGCAAGGGAAATTATCTATGGGATACAGTACTACACAGATCTGCATGAATTAATGAAAATTAAAAGGCAATAAAAGGCACCCAAAAATTGCAGAAAAGTGCTTTTGAAGTTTGTTGTAAATCCACATCAAAATAAATAACAGGTCCTGCATAAAAACTGAAATAGTTCATACGGTTTTAGGATGTATTTATTATTAGTTATTTTTGTTTAAATTCTAATGCCAGGCTGTGGAATACTGCAGACAAATCATTAATACCAGAGACAAACATAAGATACATTGTTTTACCATTTGCAGTAAAACCACATTGGAATACATTTGCAAAAGCCTCCAGTGTGCACCAGACAAGTACATTAATAAAACAATCTTATGGGGAAAAAAAGTGCTAGAATACAATTAACACTGTGAAATGAAGCAACTAAAACAGTTTCAAAACAAGTGCAAGATCATGAAATCGCTTAAGAAAATTGTTTCAGTCATTATCACATCCTCCGACAAGCTCAGAGCGTCCTTTGTTGAGGGCATGCAGTTCTTTCCACCGGGTTCTTAGCAGCGCTCACGACTGACACGGACAAGTTGAGGCATCTATGGTGTTTTAGTAACATTACATTGTGCGTCCAAATCGATGTTCTGAGGCTTAAGCCAAGGCTACAAGCAGCTACCTGCACCAGAAATGTCTTGTATGTGAGTTTGACGACCGTGTTTACCTCCACAGCACACACCCATTCTGCACAGATTAGAGAGAAAATGATATCTTTTTGTTTAATTACGTTTTAAAACAGAAGTGTGTCTTAAGCTGCAGTAGAGGCAGAAAGTCTGAAAAATGTTTTGCGTTAATGTGGTCCACATTAACGCAAAACATTTCTCAGAATTTCTAAATTGTTTTACAGTTTTGTGCTGTATTAATGTATTACACACACACAATGGTGGTGATCTATTGTTGCCACAGCTGCCCCAGGCTCAAGTGAAGGAAGCAAAGCCCACAACCAATTGTTATGCACACCGAGAAAAACATGATGAAGAAATTGCAATAAAAATAAATCATATGAAGAGAATTAAGATAAGAGATGAGATAGACTTTATTGATCTCACACAGGAGAAATGTACATGTCACATCTGGCATTGGTAGAATCACTCAAGATTGTGCAAACATGTTAAATGCAGGATGTGTTATGTACAATAAAAAGTGGCAATTCAAAAGTGGCAAAAAAGAAAGTGGCAATAGTCGTGCAGGTTTTTCAGTCCTACTGCAAGTGACTTAAAGTGAGTTATTGTACAGTCTGACAGCGGTGGGGATAAAGGCCCCACTGATGTCTCACTAGTAGAGAGATAGAGAGATACCATACGTTGATAAGAGAATGATCAAATGCAGGAGATGCCCTTTTTCCACAAATTGTGTGATCTCACTAAAACACTAATTTATTTCCATGCATGTACATTTCTCTTTTGTGAGATCAATAAAGTTTATCTTATCTTATCTTATTCATTGCTTCAAATGGTATTAAGGATTTGTTTATCAATAATAATACATCAAACTTATATAGTTCTTTTTTGGACACACAACAACGCTTTATAAAACATTAAAAAAAACATTGACGAACATTAGGAAGGAAAGGCTGAAAAAGGTGAGTTTTGAGATGTGATTTAAAGTTCTGATGTGAGTGGGAGTTTCTGATGCATTGTGGGAGTGAGTACCAGAGAGTGGGGGCGGCTGCGACGAATGTTCAGTCCCCCAAAGTTCATTAGTAATAATAATGATAATAACAAGTGAAACCATTGTTGTTTGCAGATGAGGATGTGTCCAGTCCCGTGCTGGTCCCCAGAGGCTGCTCACCTGCTCTGGTCATCACCTCCTCTCCCAGCATCGCCATCCCATCCCCCAGTGGCCTCAGCCTCAGTCCACAGGGGGCGCTAGTGTTCTCCAGCTCCCCCTCCTCCTCCTTCTCTGCCCGGCCCCCTCTGCCCGGGGGGAGTGTGGTCCGCAGGAGTCCAGTCCCGAGGCAGGATGGAGGTGCGAGCTGCTGGCGTCTGTCGCAGCCCAACAGAAACAGCGCCCTCTCTCTCCTCTCCACCTCCTCCTGTTCCGACACCAGCTACATCCTGGGGAGGTAATGGGTTCAAGAACCACTTCAGGACTTTGACCATACCCTAGCCCTCTGTATTCTTTGAAATTAACCTGCTAAAAGGGGCACGTGTAACTCGGGTCATTTTCACCGTTCTCCTGGTTAGCTCGCCACTTTTTTTTGCGCAGCATTTATGGCTATTATATATTTGAATAATTCAGACACAAAGAAAGCTCCATATAACTCAAAAACAAAAACAAATAGAGACATAAGACACACAAGCATACAAAAATATATACAGTATGTTTTTTTTATAATCATTATATTACCAACAGAAAAAATATCAGTATTGGGCTAAGACTAAAAGCTAATTATACTGAATGAAGTATTTACAAAAGAAACTGTGGATATGTACAAAATATATATACGAGATGTACACTTCAGCATCTTCAACAATCAACAGTTTACAATATGATTTTTAATTTATCAAGCTGATATCTTGTGTTGTTTACCACATGTAACCAATTTTCCTTTTGTGCCAAACTTTTTTTTAGTTTTATGGAGGTCTATGTTCAGTCTGTACAGTCCAGTCCCATAAATAGTATTGTTTTTTTGTTTAAAACTACTCAGATTACGACAAAATTGTGCTGTCTTACAGTATTTCCCTATTAGAGAACATATTTGCAAGATTGATCCCTGTAAGTCAATTAATCTCACTATGAGCTAATAGCTAATTAGCTGATCAAGACTCAATCACTTCTTCACAAATCCACTCCACTGTAGTTACAGAATCAGGAACCCCAGCTTTAATAGAGAAGAGGAAAGTGGGTTCAAGGGTTGATTTGAAAAACAGATATTTTTGTGAGAAAGTTGTATTTCTCAAAACTTTTAGTTATTGGCCCTAAATTCCCCACCTCAACATGGGTGGATCGAAAGAATTTGCTTAAAAAGGGGAGAGACTTAATTCTAATTGCACTAAAGTAAAACTGGATTTTGAAAAACTGCTTGGTACAAGGAAAACTAATATTTTCTCACATATTATTTTAAATGGCACTTCACTGAATCCACAAACAAAACTAATCTTCAAACCTTCTGATTATTGTCTTGTTTCTTCTCTCCAGCACACTGTCTCTGACCAGTGAAGATGCAGACTTCTCAGAGTTCAACCCCTTTTCGACGTGTGGCTCTTTGCTTAACCAGACTAACAACACTTCCCCGAAAAACAAGCTTCTAACTGGGCTCCACCACGTCCAGAGCAGCCTGGCTTCTCTGAGCAGCTCGCTCACGGACATCCCACTGCTCCTTGTCAATGGAGCTCCGCAGCCAGAACTACAGTCACGTCCTCCATCTCCAAAACCACCCTCTCCACTCAGTAAGACCAAAACATTATAATAGTAATACATCGCAAGTACACATGGCAGGTTTTGTAGCAGAAATTATGAAAAAGGAATATTTCAGATTGACAAATATACAATAATATTACTTTTTGTGCGTTTTGTGTAAATGGATGACTTCCTTCTGGGAATTCTTTGTAATTCGGGCCAAAAGATCAGATTTTAGTTTTTTTAGATTCTTTTTTTATGTCAAACCTGGAAAACACAAATTCCCACGTCTTCCCACTAATACGGGTTTGAAAAAGGGTTGGATTGTGAACATTATTGTATAAAAATAAAACACATAAATTATTTAAAAAACTTAATAATAACAATAAATAGGTTTTATACAGAGCTTTGGACACTCAAAAGACTTTTCATGACATTATCTATTACTGGTTGCAGTTCTACCAAAAGGAAAGACTATTTGAAACATATTATCGTTGGAAAATACTTAGTGTGCAAAACAGTTCAGTAGGAAATGATCAGAAAAACAAAAAATTGTAAAAATGAAATACAATTTACGTTGCAGACATCCCCTTTAATACACACGTTTACATCAAAATTCCGCAGATTTTGTATGTAAAAGTGGAAAAGGCTTTTACATCAAAATTCCGTGGAAAAGGCTCCACACCTCCCTGAAGTTAAAGCCTGCAGCTTCTTGCAGCGAGGCGAGAGCGCTGACCACTAAATCATTGTGTAAATATTTTGGCTCAATTCTGTGTCTCTCGAGTGTGCTGTCATCATAGAGCCTCCTAGTTTCACTTCCAGAATCAACATGTTTACAACTTTTTCTTCATTGGTCCAAATCTATCATTTTATCTATTTATAACAGGCATTATCCCACCAAACAGCAAACATAAAAAATGAAAATTTAAACACATACAATTGATCTGACTGACTGTATATATTGTTGTGTATTTTCTTTTCTACATTCTCATGCTTCTATATTATGGATCACTTGAATTTGAGTCAAAAATTAAAATGACTAATAATAATTTTAAAGTTGTTGTTTTTTTAGGTCCTTCTTTACACGGAAGCCAGCTCTCCATGAAGTTTGTAATGGACACGTCAAAGTCGTGGTTCCGTCCGCACGTCAGCAGGGTAGAAGGTACTTTTGGATATACTCATGAACTGCACTGGTCACCGGATAGTTACATCAGGGTGTACCAATAATTTAGTTTAGTTTAGTTTTTAGATTAGACGAATATGTTCTGCAGTCCCTGGTTACACAAAAAAACAAAAAAATACAACAATAATAAGTCTTGCCTCACCGGTTGCAGAACAGTAGGAATGAGGAGCACACAGCACAAGATAAATTAACACATAATACCTGAATTTATAATAAAATCACAACAATAGCATTAGGATTGTCCTCTCATTCAAACTCTGCAAACCAATACATAAATAAACACACATATTTCATACTGGAGTCCATAATAAAATAATCTCGTACATATACTACAGAAGTTGTCCAACACAGAGCCACTTTTTAAGGTCAGCTGTGAATAGAAAATATCTTCCATTTCAAAGAAGAAGAGATACTTGGTTGACCATTATGGCAGCGTATTTTGATGTTTAATAGCTATTTATAGATAAGAACACCCACAAAATTATATAAACGTCAATATTTTGTGATTTCATTAATGATAGCTTCTCTCTACTGTCTTGTCTGGTTAATCTTTGCAGCTGATGCTATGGTGAAAGATAAGGAGCCCGGAACATTTGTGATTCGAGACAGCACGTCCTACAAGGGAAGTTTTGGACTCGCCATGAAGGTGGATCAGTCGCCCACCACATCTAACGCATCTGCCTATCCAGGTGAAACTATATCTGATTTATCACTGGGCAGGAAGGAAGAGAGGACATGTACTGTATTCATATAGCACATCTCGTGGTAGTAGTAGTGAGTAACTTATATTTCTCATGCACCATTACAGAAAACAAACAAGATACAGAAGTACGTGTTACGCTATGGGTGACCTTGGTCTGTAAAAATGTGCTATATAGATAATGATTACTTACTTACTTACATTTTGAAAAAACAGCTTGAACACACACACACACACACACACACAGACATTTCCCAGACACCGTTAGAAATGAATGAGAACACAAAATGATTCAATATTTTTTTGCTTCTTACATCATCAACAGACTTACATCACTACAGTTTTTGGCCCCATCTCCTGCAGTGAATGCGTTGTTGTTATTCAGATACTTAGATAATAAGATTTTTTTCAGTATACCCTAGTTTATGGTGTCTACAAGTAAACATATCCATTGATTTCGGTGTCCTGGATGAGCCAGTATCAAGTATAAATCAGATTTTTCGAAACCATAATATTCACACTGGGATGTTTTGACAATATTGAGCTTACAAGTTCATTCTTATTGACAATTGTAGCTTTCAAACATATTCAAAAAGGTTTACAATTTCACATAACCAAACCCGGAGCTACCACGTTTCATAAAAAGTAGGAAAAAGGGTTTAGTCAGCCAACAATTGTGTAAGTCCTCCCACGTAAAACAATGAAAGATCTAGCCGCAACTTTAAAGCAGTTTTTTTGTGTGTGACATCACTGCTCTAGAAGAGATCCGTAAGGAGGAATGGGCCAAAATACCAACAACAATGTGTGAAAACCTTTTGAAGGCATTTGACCTCTGTCATTGCCAACAAAGGGTATATTCCATATTTGTTTTTTCCCATAATTTGCAAATACGTTCTTTAAAAAGGTCTCATCTTTTCTAGTAGGAGGACAATTAGGGGCTGACAAAATATGCTTTTGCTCCCAGTGACTGTATATATAATAACTATGAAACAAAAAGGGTGGTACCTCATGTTTAAGTACAGATATCCACTTTGTATTAAAGGTACGGACTTAGTGGTAAAATTCTAAATACAGATAGTTATTTGTGTAAAGTGTAATTTAATGTGTAATAATTCTTCATGCAACTGGAAAATTCCCGGTCCACACTCATCACCAGCACCATTGTGTCATCTGACATTTGACCCGCCCTTTGCCGGGACTTGCTGACTGGACAGCCTCAGCACGTTCTCAAAGGCATGTCTTAAGTCTGAAGTCTAAAGTCTAAAGTCTGCTCATGGCCTCTCATAGATACAGGTCACAACAGGTTTTTTCAAGCACTGAGGAGTGAATGAAAAAATCCAGGGAAGGCTCATGTGAAGAGATTTGTGAGGGACATAAATCAAGCTTTTCTATTGATGGATTAACTCATGTGGCCACCCAGGAGTCATAACAGTCTTACAGATTCTAAACATAGTAAATTGGTTTGAAATCCTTGAATACAGCCGTTTCTTCAGCATGGTGACCTACTGAATGGTTAAAACATCTCTCGGGATCCCGCTGTTAAAACAAATAACACACTGTTCTGAAGAAAATGTAATGCTTTTCTCTTGAAATATAAACTAAAATTACAAAATTAACACTAAGATGAAGGATTTTATCTGTAAAAAGTGATTTTAACCAAATATTTGTGAGTTATAACTTATTTCAATAGCTTGTTCTGTTTGTATCCTTTGGGAGCTACCCCTGAAGATACTCCTTTCCCACAAAGGTACTGGTTCTGAGCCAGTTCTGGACTGGTTTTGGACTAGTGGCATTGCAGGATGGGTCAAATGCAGAGGACAAAGTGTACATTACGAATATTATTAATCATTATTATTATTATTCTGAACTGGGGCTGTTTCAGTTCATTTTCCCACCGTGTTGCTATGTCCCGTAACCATAGCAACACACTGTTTACTAGCAGCAGTTAGCCTTGATTAGCTTCTCAACTAACTTATTTTGTCTGTATTTCAGTTAAGACCAACTTTATTTAACCTTCTCAATTACTTTTAAAACATGCAAGAGATACTATACACTTTTTTGTGTTTAGTATTTCTCCATAACTGCTTTCCATTTTTGCCCCTGGTCTGTCTAAACGGGCCAAAAACAACAAGTATAACCACAGGCCCGCCAACGCTCTGGAGTTTCTCGGGCATCGCCCGTTCCGGCGCGCATGGAGGCTCACTCCCGCTGGACAAGCTCGAACGCATCCGCGCGTTTCCCGGGTCTGCTTGGCTTCCCGTCACTTCGAGGCGACCTGCTCTCCTCCTCCTGGGCATCGTAATTATGCCGTCCGTATCTTTCCCCAAGGTCGTTCTTTTAATTCCAAGACTCTCTCCCTCGCCGGCTCCGTCTCTCCTCAATGACGCTGTCTGCCCACACGCGGGCGCCGCCTCCGACCTGGCGTTCCGGTCCCGTCTGCGAGCCGCTGGGATGGTGTATCTATTTTTTTTTACAGTGAGTCATCCTGTCTCAGATGCCCCGCGGTTCTTCACGGACGCAGCCGTCCGTGGGTTTTGGGGGTTTTTCCTGGTACCAGTGTTCGCCGGGCCCCGGCCCGACGCTTTACTCGAAGCATCTCCTCCGCGCTCCACGAGATATATCCGTAAAACCGTAGCCTGCGTGCTGCGGAAACCATACGTGGCTAGGAAATAGGATTTCCGTGATGTGCGACACCCTCGACGTCATGAAATAATAAAAAAAAAAAAAAATCAAAGGTCGTTCATCCTTCTCCCAAATCACATCCTCCTTAGTCGCATCACTCGGCTCTCAGTCCCGAACAATTTATCTATCACTGCTTTCACGTCCCTCGTCACCTAACTGTTGCTGACTCTTCTCTCGCTTTAATTCCAGGATTTCTGACGCCTCTTCCCTTCTGCCAAATCCATCGCCATGCAAGATCCCCTGCCGGAATCCTCGCCCCGGCTCAGTCCCTCAGTCTCTTCACCTCTCTCCTCCGCTGCCATCTAATGAAAAGGGGTTCATAGCATAAGCGAATTACTAATACCACACCACACCGTCAATGCAGCCCCAAGACATAGCCTTCTACGTCCTGTCTTACTATCCCTGACTACTTCAACCTCCACCTATGCATTCCAAACGCAAAGCGCTGTATTTTAGTTATAGTCGGTCTGACACTTCTCCTGTCCCTACAGATCCATGACGCATTACACTCGCCTCCGCTCTCGGAAAGGAGATGCTCTACGGACCGTTATTTCTTACCCCGATAACCTCCCGATGTCCTCCGAACTGGTTCAGAGCCCAACTCAAGTCCGTACTGCTGCTTTGTTAAACCTGTCTCCCCTTCTCTCACAGCCCACTCCTCTCGGATAGGCGCCGCCACGCGCGCCGCGTCCCTGGGGTCCCATTCGCCCTCCAGCAGCTGGGCGTGGTCACATCGGGCCCTTTCTTCATACATCAGGCCTGCACTTGCGTCATTCTGGCCAGCCCTGCGCCTCTTTGCATCTCATAAACACTTGCAAACTTCCTGGTGGCGGCCTAGCAGCTGAGTATCGCACGTTTTGGTCACAGTATATAGCGTCACAGTATTTAGTGATAGCTGGTCACAGTATATAGCGATAGCGGTCACTGTATATTCTGAGTTAGCGTGGTCACAGTATATAGCGATAGCCGGTCACAGCATAGGCAGTCTCGACGTTCTGTCCCCTCCAAACCAGGCTGCAAAAACTCATCAACTCACAGCCGTTTTTTGGGGATTGGCTCGCTCCATCACAGGAGCTTCTCCGATCTGAAGGCCGCACGGGGCCTGGGCGCCTAACTCCCAAGTATAAATACTCAAAAGCTTCTTGTTTTCTCGTCTCTCAAATTGAAATGCAGCCGCGGAAATTCATTTGGTAGGACGTCAGGCCAAAGTTACCCCCTCCAGGCGGGTCACTCCACCAGCCTATCGCACTGCAAAGCCCCCTTTCAATCACCGCACGGCCAGGCAGACGGCTTAAAAGCGGAGAAACTCCCACTCTCAGGCCTTCTCGAAGCCTTGCAGCCACCGCCTCCCCTCCTCCTCCTCTTCACCCTGCCTCCAATCTGCCTTCAATCTGCTTCCGCTTGCCAAATGCCGCCACCAGTGCCTAGGTCCGGGGGATTGGCGCGCTCCATCGCAGGAGCCCTCTCCGATTGTCGGCCGCAACGGGGCTAGGGGCGCAATCATCCTCCCAATAAATACTCAAAAGGCTTTTGTTTTCTCGTCTCTCCAAATTGAATTCTTCAATTACATATAATTGTATCTAGCTTAAAATCACAGCAGCAGTGTCGCAAAAGACTTTACAAACTATAAAACAGGAAATGCATTATATAAAAAAAATCGGCAATAGGAGCAGGACTACAAATGACACATCGATGTTAATAAATGTCCATAGAGGTCTCTAAATGCGCCCAGGTTATCACTGTACTTGATCAGCAAGGATCACTCAAAAAAGTGTGGGGAAAAGATGTGAGAAACCTCAGGGAGAGGATCCACTCCAGGTCTGACAGGTGTATACAGGAGTCCTGGTTGTGGAACCAGGACTGCGGCTGTGCGGAGCAGGAAGCGGTCCAGGCGGGGGAGATTGGTGCAGCCACTCAATTTCACAGGTTGCAGGTCAAAGGACGGTTACCAGGTAGCGTGATTGTAGATTTTTCCAAAATGGGGGTTTTGAACTGAGATGTTTTTTTTCCTGCGGAAACCTAGGTAGGCTGCCACCTTTGTAGTTCCATTATATTAAAAATACTTTTCTCTGTTTAAACAAGATTACAGTCATATTTGGCCTTCATACACATGCCCAGAGCAGTTTTTGTTTCCTTATTACTTCAAGCTGTAGTTATAGAGACACTCTTTCACTGTCATTCTTGAAAGGCACATACACAAGTCGTGTTTTTTCTGAGTTCTGTTCCAGAGCTACGGTCACCCTTAACGGGACTACACAAAGCTGATCTGGAAATCAGTTATAATCCCAACATAAAAGATGTTGACCTGAGCTTGAGTCGTAAGCACAAAGCAAACAAACTCGCTGTTTTCACTGTCACTAAATAATACAGGGTCTGATTCTGGATTGAGGACATAGGACTACAGTTAGGTGTTCTTTCTTGTGATGGAAATTTGTTCTCTGCATTGACTATCATTCGATGCCAGTAGGGCATCGAACAGTGCAGCAAGAAAAACATTAGGGCTGCAATGTTCAGTGGACAAAGCCACAATGCGTCCTTTAATCGGAGTTCGGCAGAAACTACTTGTTACTTGGTGTTAGCATGCTCTATGTGGACAGACTCCACTCACTTGTCTTCAGGGCTCTTATGTGTTGACTTTGGCATTTACTATGTAGAATAGCAATTCTGCATGGGTGGGGGGGGGAACTTTTTGAAACAATCACACATTAGTG